GACGTTATCAATAGTGTCAGAACTTTCAACCTCAAGGGTGATGGTTTTGCCAGTCAGGGTCTTGACAAAGATCTGCATACCACCTCTTAACCGGAGAACCAAATGGAGTGTTGATTCTTTCTGGATATTGTAATCAGCCAAGGTACGGCCATCTTCTAGCTGCTTACCAGCGAAGATCAATCTTTGCTGGTCCGGAGGAATGCCTTCCTTGTCCTGGATCTTTGCCTTAACATTGTCGATGGTGTCAGAGCTCTCAACCTCGAGAGTGATGGTCTTACCAGTGAGTGTTTTCACAAAAACTTGCATCTGCGAAGAAAGAAAGCAAAGTAATAATCGATCAGCAAACATAAACGGAATTAGAAGCCGTAAAGAGAATTCAAAACAAGCCAGAGAACTTAAACGTTATCGGCAGACAATCACATATAAGAGATGACGAATAATTTGATGCAATTGACATAATAACTCAAATCAAAGAGAGAATAGAACAATTCATAGTGAGAATTTCACAATCAAGCAAGAAATTGAACAGATCTGAACGATATCACTTCTCATCCAAAGATATAAAAGGCCAGAAAGATCACAAAATTCTACAAACATGCAAATCTGACGAACTACGAATAGAGATCTTAGTAATCGGCGTTGAGATATCAAAGCAAGATAAACCATCAAATCTAGAAAAGCATAGATGAAACGAAATCGATTCAATCATCTAAGGAACCAGAATCGAACATCAGAAAAACCTAAACGAAAGATCAGAAGCTAAATCAAAAAGAGCCAGTAGAGAAACACGTACCTTGAAAGAGAGAATCGTTAGGAAGAGATTTGAAGAGCGATCTAGGGTTTTTTCTTTTGGGAGAGACGAAGAAATCAGAGAAATAATATCCTTTTGTTTCTTATATAGTGGTAACCAAAACCGACTTTTAATTAATTGGCCCAATTGGCCCAAAACCTTTTTTTCATATAAAAGAATTGTCGTTATCTAATCTAATTAGAGATATATTTACCTCATTGTCAATTTGTAATTGATATTTCTTCTTCTGTTTTTTTATTACTTTTTTGAACATGCTCAATCTTATTAGTGAAAATGTCAAGAGATATAGTTGAGATTTGAGAAGCCACTTAGACATCTGCAATGTAATGCTTATTAGTTATTACAATTCAAGCCAAAGAGACTATAAAAATGAAACATTGAGACCAATAACAACTCATAAAGAAAAACAATCATTAGAAACGAAATCAAAATGCTTAAGGAACTCGAATAACAAAACGCACAACCACTTATTTTAAATGAAAAATGAAATTAAGAGGCGTTTAATTAGTTCCTCCAAGCACACCCTTAAGCTTCTTAACTTCTGCATCGCTAAGGAACGTTGTGGCTTCAACGAGTTCTGAAGGCAAATCGTTTGCGAACAGAGCAAATGGTAGAATCTGGAGCCCTGGGGAGGAGCTTCCGAAGGCGACGAAGGCTAAGGCAGGGCCTTTCCCAGAGTTAAGCTGAAAATGAAGAAGCCCTTGAGGAAAAATCATAGAATCGCCTCTGTTGAGAGTCTTCAAGTAAACTTTGTTAGCAGAGGAGATGAATCCGGCGCAAATGGTGCCTTGTATGACTACAAGGGCCTCAGAAGCACCAGGATGAGTGTGAAGAGGAATGACACCACCACCGGCTAAGTCAAGACGAGCCAGAGAGACGCCAAGGCCATTGGTGCCTGCAAAAGCAGGCGCAAAGGCTGGAGTCACAGCGGCTTTAATGATGTTCGAAGTGTTTCCAGCTTTGCCGAGTCCGGAAAATGCAAAGTCATTTTCGGTGACCTGGTCAGGGTTCTTGCAAGAGTACCCTGATGGGCTTTGAGGACCCTTGGGATCAGCTACACAAAAATCTTGAACAGAGGCAAAAGAGATGGATGAAACGAGGGAGATGATGAAGAAAATATGGATTATCATCTTCATTTTTCTTTAAAATGTTTTATAGATAAGAGCTCTTCTTGATGTTATGAGGCAGAAAGAGAAGCAGGTTGGTTTATATAGAGACTGAGAAGATATTGATATGGTTTAACGTGAGGATGGTCTTGAAGCAATCCAGAGGCATCTTAATTTTTTAGTATTGCATGCATGTGAACTTTGGGTGTACGTACGTGGGAGAAAACCCCACATGGCTCTGATGGGGCTTCATGTCAGAGATTTTTGTCAGTTTGGAGAATGGTGATAAACGGTTCGTTTTCAGTAAGATGTTAAAAATGCTTAAGAAAATTTTACTCTACTGGCACAGCTGTAAACTAATCATCCTGTTTCAAAGTACAAATCTAATATATTAAAAAATTAGAGTTTTATCCGAAATTAGGAAATGTGTTGTTAAGAGGTCAAATTCAAGGTTATCGAAGACGAGCATCATTCTTAAGAAAGTTGTATCCAACGTTAGGAAGTCACGTTTATCAAGAGAGAATGAAATTCATGTGAAAAATCGGTTAGCAAAGGAAGGTTATATTGAAGATCATTACCAATGAATTTTAATTTTACTCTTATAGTTAATGTCCTCAATTTCTCTTGTCGCTGTACAACAATGACTTTGTAAACACTTGTGAAAGCAACGGGAATGACGTTAGGAAGAGTTTTTTAAATTGCAACAATTCTTAGTATGAACTATGAACTAATTAAAAGCTTCGTTATGAATATTTTTTTTTGAGGATAATTCATTGGTATGGTACTAAATCTACGTACGTAATAGTTTAGCATTAAGAGAAATAAAATCATTATTTTGAAGTTTGAACGATCCTCGAGGTTTCGATTCTGACATCTAGAATGTACAACGTAGTAAGAATTGGAATCTTGAAAGGTAAAAGCTGTTAGAAGCTCCCAAAGATCAAAATATCCCAAAGGAACCTCTTTTTGATGAGATATTTTTGTAAAGAAGATATGAGAAAGAAAAAAAGGAATGGAGAAGAAGAGAGATTGGTGTGGTCCAATTTTGGGTAAAGAGCAAACATGTCTCTTCCTTCTCTAATTTGGACTCCTCTGCACAATTACTTATCTTCTCATTTCAGCAACTTCCAAAATCGTGTGGCTCTTCAACGTTGCCTTTAGCTCAGGGCATTTACTATCTCCAAATCCAGTCTACAGTATAGGCAAATCTTGGATTTTTTTACATTTAATCTTTTGTTCTTGACATTGTGATTTTTTGGAGCATCTTTTCTTTTACGCAATTGGTCTATTATTAGTTAACAAATTGTATAGTTTGTTAGACTTGATTCTACCATATGACAGCTTCAACATTTGCTTCTCCAAGAGCAACAACAAGGGGATAAAAGAATAAGCCAATAATGTACACTGCTTTCTTTACAAACAGTTTTAATAAGCTCAATCTAACTAACTAATTAACAACTTAATCACACAAAAAAAAAAAAAAAAAATTATAATCCATCTAACAAACTATTAACTAAAACTAGTCTAATGTGGACAAAACTTGATTTAATCATGGGCTTCTTGAGATTTTTAGTACTGTTAACAAAAGCCTTTGTGTGTTTGTTTGTTTAGCCAAAAACTTTGGTTCATGCAATATAGGCTTCTTGAATTTGGTAACATAACAACTGGACCTGACACCCAGATAAAATGTATAAAGAGATAAGCCCAAAACAAAGAAGCCTATAAAGAAAAACATGCATGAACAAAACTAAGCAAGAAAGTGAAAAAAAAAAAAAAAACCATAAGCAGAAATATTGCATAGGAAAATGTTTTAAAAGTCCAATTAGAGCTACCATTTAGCATATGATAATGTAGATTATCATTTTAATCAAGGAAAATATGATTAATCTAAATATTAAGATAGATATCGATCTGTCGACTTTTTTTATTTTACTATGAAAATAATAATAACATGAAAGATATAAATACCAGCGACAACAAGCGGAGAGTGTCAGAGAAGAGATGAGTATAGAATTCACATAATGCATCGAGCCATATGCTACATTGACAAATTGCATTTAATAATTTTTCTTTGCAGAGAGGTCCACACCATCCCTCTCTGACACTTTTTTGTACCCTAAACTTCATCTAATTTCGTTTTCAACCCCTCTTTTATTAATTTTACTCTTGACATAGACAACACCTCACTCTCTCTTTAATGGGACCTCTAAAAATACATCACACAATAAAACTCACAAAGATGAAGAAAAGAAAAAGAGTAGAAAAGACCTTCACTTCTGACTTCTGATCCCTCAGTTGGATCCGTACCGTACAAAAACCAGAAACCCTTGATCAATTATTACACGAATACGAATTTATCTCTCTCTCTTTTTTCTTTTTCACCATGAAATCTATTTTTTTACCCTCTGCTGAATTATTCTCTCTGACTTCTTTTATCAAAAATAGAATATAGTTTAGCAATTAATACGAATATCTCTGAGATCTTTTTCTAAACCCATCGGACATAAGCAGTTATGTCGGATCTCTGTTATATATGTTTCGTCAATTTTGTATCTAGTTGTGTCCTACGAATCTCGTGAAATTTTGGCTATAATTATCTCGTTATCATTCAGTTATGATGATTCATTTCAGAATTCAGACCACTAGTATAAAGCTAAACCGAGAGGAAATCGATTTTATTGCTTAACCTATTTAATTTTACATGCAAAGGGTTTTTTTTTTTTTAATTTTTTAGCTAATGAGAGCTATGTACCAAATTGTAGTCATTCTTTGCCTTTAGCCATTTTACCTTAGCTATTGAAAAAAATGGAGTTTCGTTATAAACAAAATTACGAAACTTTAAAAATTGAGCCGTATAGGCTGACAATAAGAACATGTCTCGATTTTTTCTTTTTTTGTTAACAAACATGTCTCGATTTATTTACGTGTATATGATTTTTTTTTTGAATTTTTAACTGCGAAACGGATTGCCGTTTCTTGATTTATTTACATATCCCATGGCAGGCTCGCTTGATAGTAGTAAACTAGTAATCATCATTATATATCACTTACACAAAGACAAAAATATTCACAATTTTATTACAAAAAATAAGAAAGAGTTGCTTCCTTTAAGAGATAAAAGAAAAAATTTGAAACAAAAAAATATTACTTATAGAAGAATAATGTTTAGAATGCTAAACAACAAGGATTAGAACATAGATTTTTACAATTGCAAAAACAACAAGAACAAAGTCGTACCTTGGGACATCTAAAACAAGATGACCATCTGATCTTGCAGTTGCAGCTGCAGCATGAGCTCTTCTTTTTATTCAGACACGACGGTCGAGTGCAACTGCAGTTGCGGAAACAGCTGGGAATGCAGCAAGACATGTCCGGACATGAACAGCAGCAACCTCGGAAGCATGAACAGCTCGGGCAGCTTGGTCTCGGGCAACAACAAATGTTTGAGCAGCACGACCCGTCGCAGCATTTGGACCCAATACAGCTGCAAGATGTACAGTTGCAGCACTTGGGTTTCCTCAGATGGCACGAACATTTGGATTGGCAGCAACAGCAGAAACTCACCAGGCTCAAACACGGGCCACTGCATCGAGTTATTTAATTAGTATCACTTTGTTAAGATAGATATACACATTTGTCATTCTAACCATCTAAGAACAAGCATTGCCTATAAACATTTCATACTATTTGCAAATTTTGTCATACTATTTGTCTTATGCAAATTTTGTATCAATTCATATACATATTAAAAATGCACCAGTCGCCGTGTAAATTCTTACCAGAGCCACTTCCAGAACCGGCAAGATCTTCGACTCTTTCGTTGTCTGTCAGTATGAAAAAATAACAACAGAATTGTTAGGGAAGGCAGGGTAAGAGAAAAGTGTAGTGACTGAGTGAACTAGAAATATGCTTACGCAGGGATCAAAGGGTCAGAATTTGCAACAACAAAATCAGAGACCCTGCCACAACAAAACATATATTTTATCAATTAACCAAACTGAACAAAAACTGATACAAAGTTTTTAAAACAGAGAGATCATCTCACTCTTTGCAGCATCTAGAAGCCGGTTGTACGCCTTCAGTGAATTTAATTTCCCCCTGCTCATGACGAAATTCGAAATATCGGTTAAGAAACTTCATTAACTAACCGGAAGTAAAATGTTATTGGCAAATAGGAGAAGAGCTAAATTCACAAGTAGACACTAAAGGGACAAACACACAACAAAACAAGAATTTCATATTTCAAATTCTCAGGAGAAAGTAAACATATACAGTGTAGAAAAATAATTTAATTAATTACCCCAACTATATGCACTATAGAAAGTAATCACAGAGGAAGTGAGAAAGCAACATGAAGAAAAAGGTGAACAAGAATTGGTCCTATCAAACGCAGATAGCAATAAAAGACAAAAACTTTCACAAAAATTGATTGATATGGTAAAGCAAACAAAACAAAATCAGCAATGGAAGCTAACCAAATTCAATATATTTTTTAGATCTTTCCCTAGCTACTTTGCTTCTAATGCTTCTTTTTCCTTTCTTCTTTATCTTTATATATTTTTACTTTTAATACTCTCTCTTTGACTAAGCACTCACTTTCATAGTACACATGCACGAACACATTAGGCCTCAGTGATGCAAACAACTGAGTAAATGGGCGTCTCATAGGTCACTTCACACTACAACATACATGATCACATTTTTTAACTTTTAACATTTTATTTACTTTTTACGTATCCTTAATTTAAAGGTTGAACAGAATGTAAGTACAATATTCTATAACCCAAAAAAAAAACCCTGATTATGAAATTAATGAGGTTAATTGAAAAGTATAGGAACCATATTAATTTAGTTTTCAATGAAAAGATCCGTTGAAACCCCCTCAACTAACAAAATTTTTAATAGAAATGATTCAAATTAATTTTCAATTAATGAAACATGCATTAGTTTAAGTAGGCAAAGTCCTTGTTGCATATCATAGTACTAGTTTGAATTTGATTAGATATAGAAATAGAAATGTGTCTGATGACAGAAATTAATTATTCGTTTTTGAGAGCATCTAAGCGAAGAAATAAAAATTAAATGTCTTGGGTTTCTATAATTGCTGTCAAAACATAACACAACGGTCCAGAGTCCAAACCAACCTGGATATAGTAGGGACCAAGTTTTTAACAAATCAACAAACTCATTTCTCACAAACGAAAAAATAAATCAAATAGTAGTACAATTAGAACTAATTAATTTACTAATCAGAAACTAATATACTAGTAGCAATTTTTTAAAGACAGGGTAATAAAAACAAATGAGTGATGAAATTCAAAATATTCGGACACTTCCTCAGAGTAATCAAAAATGGCAGATTAAAAAAAGAAAATGAAAAGGACTGTTTTAAAAATAGTAATAAAGAAGTAAGTATAAGAGACTTGCCTCGAGAAAACCAATCTCTCTCGAGAGCATCTGAACTCTCGCCGCCTCTCTGCGTTTCCCGTACAAATCTGGATACTCCGGCGGAGACTTAGGACGAGGCGGCGGTAGAGACGACGGAGCAAGAGACGACGAACTCACTCCAGCAGCTGATTCTCCTCCTCCTCCGTCACCGCCAGAAGGAGCAGACATTTTTTCGGAGAGGAATGGTTCGTCGAGTCTTATGAGAGAAACATGCAGTGATGTTATGAGAGAAGTGAACCAAAGAAGGAAGGAAGGAAGAAGAAACGGCGAGTGAGCGAGTGAGAAAAACAATGCAAAGGAGAAAGAAAAAAGAGAAAGAGAAAGAGAGAGATTAGTGTAGTAGAGAGAAGAGAGAGAGGTTGGTGGCAGAGGCGGTAATTATAGCATCTGACAAGGATTATCTCTCTTTTTATTTTATTTTAACCTTTTATTTTTAATCCTTAGACCATCTTCAATGCCCAACTCTATAATTTTAGACCATCTTCAATGCCCAACTCTATAATTTCCTCTATTTTAGAGGAATTCTATTTTAGAGGAAACTATAGAGTTGGGCATTGGAGATACTCTTAGTCTATTGTAATGACATTAATTATTTTATTTTCAAATTAGGATTTGGATGGTAAAACAATGAGAAGTATTGAGAACGTTGATAAACAATTAAGATATTTATAATATATATATATATATATAGATTTCGGAACACTTACTATAATTCTGATTCGAAATTCCAAATTGCATAACTCAAGATATGTTGGAAAAGCTAGTCTCTTTTTGCTATGTGCAAGTATGAGATTGTTAAGTTTCAAAGACTGTTTAGCTTCCAGTTTCCATCTAATCTACCTATAGTTCATTATTATATTTAATGTTATGTTTTATAGAATAACATGTTATATAGATTCTTTAACAAAAAAATAAACATGTTGTAAATAAAACAAAACAACATTTTAATATATTTTTTTAGAAAAAAATATGACTATATATGATCTCTTCTATGGAATCTGATACTCTTTCTCGATTATTTTGAGATCGTTTTTTATTTTATTTTAAATCAAGGCATATGCGCAAATAAATAATTGTATTTGTTTTAGTATGATAAGATCGGACCAAAATTTTGAAAAATAGAAACTCCAATATTTTGGATTGCACATAAATGAGAAAGAGATATTGAAGATGATAGATAACATTTTTGTCTGTACTATTCACCAAATGGTTGATTATGTCTTTTTCAATTAAATGGTCATGATATGAACTAAATTATGGTAGTTTTCACAAATTTCACCCATAAAAAAAAAATAAGGAAACCTTTGTCGCATTGAGAAGAGATTTTCAAATGTTCGCATCTCATGTTAGCTTTAGAAATGCCCACTCACACCAATAATTAATCAAGTTGCCGCTTATTAAATCTTAAGCTTTTGAAGACTTTTACCACAAAAATAGATACTTAGCATCTTTTTCATTAAGCTTTTGAAGTCTTTGTCATAAAAATTAACACTTGGCATCTTGATCAAGTATATCATTACATAAGTGTTGAAGTGTATATATAAGGATTAAGAGCTCGTCAGGAGGTATTGAATATAACTAAAACGCACGAGTGTGTATAGATGTGATGGGTGCGAGAAGCAGCCAGACTGTGGATCCGGGGGTGAGCCAGGGATACTCATCGGAATCAGAGACGGTGCTGGTGGTGCGGCGACGACCGCATATGGTGAACGGAGGAGGGTTCATAGTGAGCAATAGCAAACAACAAGTAGTGTTTAGAGTTCATGGATGTGGAGTTCTTGGAAGCAAAGGCAAGCTTCTATTGAGAAATGGTGATGGTAATGATTTGCTTCTCATCCGCAAAATGGTAACCAAGTTTTATGTTTATGCTTTAGTTTAGATTATTCAAAGGAAAGAGTGTACAATGTTAATCTTATTTGGTGTCAGGGAGGAATAGTGCAGGCACTGAACATGGTACACAAGAAATGGGAAGGTTTTGGGTATGACAATGAAGGAGCAGAGAGGTTAGTTTTCACCTTGAAAGATCCGAAAGATTCATGTCTGGTTCAAAACAGTTCAATCAAAATCTTAGTTCACGGTAAACCGCTGAAGATATCATCAACTCGCAACAACTATGTAGAGATCACAGGCTCTTTCGCAGAGAGAGCTTGTAACATCATAAATTCAGAAGGCAGAACCATAGCTAAGGTAATAATGTTACTGTACTTCTTACAAGTTTGATCAAAAGTGATTGATGTAGCTCAATTTCTGACAAATTGTGTTGAAAAATGGCAAGATAATTGGTCTTAAAAGTCGTACAAGACACTGATAATAATTGAAGAAGATGATAATAATAAACAAAATGAAAACAGGTGAGAATAGAGAAAGAGATAGAGGAAATGGTGGGGAACAAGAAGGATTTGTATCATGTAATTGTCAAACCAAATGTGGACCAAGCTTTCATCGTCGGTCTCATCGCTATTCTCGACTATATTCATGGCGAATCTACCATCTGCTAAATCTATTTATCACTCTATCTATGTCACAGAACTCATGTATTAAACCATCATAACATGTAACAATGGACCTTGCAAGTGTTGAGTTTTTGCTTGTAGCAGATTATACATTATTACAAGTTTATATGATTTCCAGATCAAATCTGGGGAATTTATATGGCTCAATCATAAGAACTCAAACATTTAAAATTTGCAATTTTTAAAGAAACGCATTTAGATCGATAATTCGTTACAAAGACAACTAATTATTATACAGAAATAAACAACAATACAAACATCAATTTTATCAAACACACACCTTTTTGGGATTTTCCGATTTAGGTTTTTTATCACCAATCAAGATTCAAGCACATGGGCATGGATCATCCGTCGCGATATCAGCACCGCCGTCATCAGATCTGAAAACTGCGTATCCGGCGGTTAATCCGGCGACGATGGCGATGAAAACGCCTCCGTTGAAGGACATAGCAGCAAGCATCAGCAAGTAACCGATCGCAGCGTTGACGCCGAAAAGAAGCACCGAAGCAGCTTTAGCGGCGGATCTGGTACCGGATTTGGGGATAAGAGGAGCAGAGACGCCGGAGGAAGAGCGAGGCGGTGGAGGACGACGGGAAGAGGAAAGGGATTTGAATTGGATGCGACGATTCTCAAGGTATTGATAGAAAGCGGAGAAGACGAAGCAAGCGATTAAAGTGAGGATGTAACTGAGCCATGAGTCAGTTTTCCAGAAATCGAAGAGAATTGTGGCTTTGATTCCCCAGTAGAAGGTCATGTGCATCATCTTTGCGAGCTTGATTTGAGCTGCTTTGATTGATGATGATACGTTTCAACTTTCAAAGAAGAAGATAAAACGATGAAGCTGTTGTTTGGTTTGTTGGATTAATTAGAAGATAGTGGGCTCACATTATAGTCCAGTGGGCTTATAACAACACAATGCTTTATCCATTTTATAAAACGGTCTACAAAAACAAAGTCATAGTGGCATTTAAGTAAATAAGTGGGAAAAGGGGGGTATTTAACAAGAGAGCAAAAAAATAATCTCGTCTTCCTTCATCAATCATCATCATCATCATCAAGCTGATTCTGGTAAAAACCCTTGCTTTATAGCTTTTGACGACTCCAACCTTCGAACATATGTTGTTTCTGTAGAGAGTGACACGTGCTTCTGTCTGAGCCGATCCAAATTTTGAGACGATGAGGAAGCGTCATCCAAAGGGATCAGATTTGTCAGAGCCATCTTCTTCCGGTCAAGAAACTGATGCTTCTTCTGATAAAGAAGCTCTCGATAAGGAAGTGCAGGCTGATGTTAAAAGATCAGGAAAAGTATGGTTTTCAGTGTTGATTTTGGTCACTTACTCTGCTTGGGTTGTTTACAATTATCAGCTTGGGAATTTACCTAAACCCTTAACCGCTAAACAAGCTGGTAAAAGGGGTTTCTCTGAATTTGAAGCTATCAATCATGTTAAGGCTTTGACTCAGTTTGGTCCTCATCCTGTTTCTTCTGATGCTCTTGTCCTTGCCCTTGAGGTTCTGTCTTTTTTGTTTTTCTCCATTTTTTTAATCTTGATTTGAGTGTGCACTCAGAATTTGTTATGTGTTCATCTTTTGCAGTATGTATTGGCAGAAGTTGAGAAAGTTAAAGAAACTGCTCATTGGGAAGTTGATGTGAATGTTGATTTCTTTGAATCCAAATTTGGTGTAAATCGTTTGGTCGGTGGTCTTTTTAAGGGCAAGTCACTTGTGTATTCAGATATAAGTCACATTGTACTAAGAATCTTGCCGAAATATGAATCAGACGCTGGAGACAATGCTATTCTGGTCTCTTCTCACATTGATACTGTCTTCACAACGTATGTCGCTTCATCTCCTATCCATTGTTTTTTATCATCATATTGCTAGTGTGAAGTTTGTGTGTTTAATTCGTTTGTGAATGTATGAAGAGGTGGGGCTGGAGATTGTAGTTCCTGTGTAGCTGTAATGCTGGAGTTAGCTCGATCTGTTTCCCAATCGGCTCATGGATTCAAGAATTCGATTATCTTCTTGTTCAATACTGGAGAGGAAGAAGGTCTTAATGGCGCTCATAGCTTTGTAACTCAGGTAGTTATGATACACTGACCTTAATAACTCTGAGTTTGATGTGATTCCCTCCCTCTCTTAAGTTTGACTTGGTTGAGTTAAGCTGATTAGATCTCTTAATTCCTGAACTTATGGTTTCTGGATCACATTGTAAATTACTTTATGCAGCATCCATGGAGTTCCACGGTACGTTTAGCTATTGATTTAGAGGCCATGGGTACGGGTGGAAAGTCCAGTATTTTTCAGGTATAATTTTATGCACTACCTCTCGTTCCTCACGATTGCTTTTATAAATTATAAAAATAAAAAATTCTTGAGAAGCACAATTTCTTTGGACATGTGAGGTTTCCCTCTTCTTGTAATATGAAAAGATGGTATGAAAACAAATTCTGACAGCACATGAAGGGTTTTGGTAATTTTTACTAAATTTTGGCTGTGGTCTTGATTCTTTTTCTGGGAGTTAAGCTGTTGTATTGGACATAATTACTATTTTTTGGTGCCTTATACCTGAAAGAGGATCGGGTTTCTGGTGTGAATTTCGACCATCTGAATGTTTTTCTCCTCCGGGTATAGGCTGGCCCGAGTCCATGGGCTATTGAAAATTTTGCTTTGGCCGCGAAATATCCATCTGGTCAGATCATTGGGCAGGTATGTACTTCCAACTGATGTTTCTTCCCCCCTTTACTAGTATATATGCATCTATATGTCACTGCTTTACTATGACAGGATCTGTTCACTTCTGGAGTCATAAAATCTGCGACCGATTTCCAAGTATACAAGGAGGTTGCTGGTCTCTCAGGGTTGGACTTTGCTTTTGCAGATAATACGGCTGTCTATCACACTAAAGTATTTCCCTTTTTTGTTTTACATGTTGTTCTTCTTGTTTCGATCCCGGTTTAGATGTGTAATATGTTATTGCTTGCTTCGCAGAATGATAAGATAGAACTAATAAAACCAGGATCGCTCCAGCATCTTGGGGAAAATATGCTTGCTTTCCTTCTTCGGGTTGCTTCATCGTCTGATCTGCCAAAGGATGATACTCTCCAGGGAGAGGAGAAATCGACCCCGGACTCAGCTGTCTATTTTGACATTTTGGTGATTACAGAACTAACTATTCTGTTGTTATTATCTATTAAGATATGTACTTACATAGCTTTTTCTTTACTATTTCCTAATAGCTTTCCTTTATTTAGGGGAAGTATATGATTGTATACCGGCAAAGTTTGGCGACAATGCTATATGTTTCGGTGATCATGCAATCTATTCTTATATGGGTTTTGTCTGTGTTCATGGGTGGTTATCCGGCTGTTGTGTCGCTGATTTTGTCGTGTTTGAGTATTATCCTCTCATGGATATTCTCAGTAGCTTTCTCGGTAGCTGTTGCATTCATATTGCCCTCGATTTCCTCGTCACCTGTGCCGTATGCTTCAAACCCATGGATGGTAGTTGGATTGTTTGTGTCGCCTGCGATTTTGGGGTCAATTAGTGGTCAGCATGTGGCCTTTATTTTCCTTCGGAAGAAATCTTCGAACAGGAATTCGAACAAAATGCAAGTCTCACCAAGACTACGAGATAACTTGGCCAGGCTGGAGGCTGAAAGATGGCTGTTTAAAGCTGGTTTTATACAGTGGCTTGTTCTTCTGGCCTTGGGAACCTATTATAAACTTGGATCGACTTACCTCGCTCTGGTTTGGCTAGTTCCTCCTGCATTTGCATGTAAGGCTATCTTTTCTTTGTTTGATATAATGAGGGATATGATTTTCATTTCAGGCTAACCACATTCATTGAAGACGTTGAAAAAGTATACCCTTTAGAGCTATCCTAAGTTTAATTTAATCAAACCTAATGGTTGTCCAGATGGATTGCTCGAGGCAACTTTATCTCCAATCCGACTGCCAAAGCCCCTCAAACTTGCAACTCTGCTTATCAGCCTGGCTGTACCAATTTTGGTTTCATCTGGCAGTTTTATCCAGTTGACGGCCACAATGATTGGCATGCTCATTCGATTTGACAGGTAAACTGATAGGCACTGTAATGTGAGATACTTGATACATATGATAAACAATAAATAATAATATAAATAGGTAGGAGTCTTTTTGATCATTGGGACTTGGGAGCCTTAGGAATTTGGGAGATATTAGGGACTCTAAAACAAACAATAACTGATCAATTCACCTAAATTGGTTCTCCATGTTCTTCCTTTGAAAGTAAAGACAGTTCTGCTCTCTATTCCTTTCATAAACAGGCTAAATTCTCTTGCCTAAACTTAGATAGTGAAATAAAATGTCCGTACTATGTTGGAACACGATTGAAATGAATCCATGGAGCGGTAATTAGTTTTTAGCTCGCAGCTGTCTAATCTTAGTAAACATGGGGACTAAAGAAAAAAAAAAGTCAGAACGCGGTTGCTGCTATGGAAATTAATAGTTCTGTGAATCTCTTTCTTCTTTAGCATTCAACAGACCTTATATTGTAGCTGTTGTTTTGGGTATTTTGGTGTGTAGTAATCCAGGCGGAACTCCAGAATGGTTAGGCAGTGCATTGATCGCTGTTGTTATTGCTACTTTCATAAGTCTGACCTCGGTATACCTGCTGGCCTATATTCATCTCTCCGGTAATGCTCTATTTGAAAACTTTGTTATGGAACTTATCACAATAATTACAAACTTTAGTTGATTAAGCATAATAATTCTTGACAAACTTGGTCTCTAGGTGCAAAAAAGTCGATTGTCTCTGCATTATGCATTATCACTGCCCTCTCTCTTGCTCTTGTATCTTCTGGTGTTCTTCCTGCATTTACTGAGGATACTGCAAGAGCAGTAAATGTATGTCCCTTTGATTCTCGTTCCTGTGGATTTTTTTCAATTCTTTTGTGTTACTACGTGAAAGTTATTCAAAACTATGCGACTCAGCCTTGATATATGGTTGTATGCATGTAGGTAGTACATGTTGTGGATACAAGCGGGCAAGATCAAGTGGCGTTCATATCACTATTCTCAAACACTCCTGGAAACCTAAACATGGAAGCAGAGCAAATCAAAGAAGGGTTCAGATGTGGCAGAGAGAATAAGATTGATTTCGTCAGTTTTGAGGCTAAATACAGTTGTGTGACCAAGAAGGACGCAAAGGTTGGATGGGACAAGAACGAGATTCCAGTTCTGCGTGTCATAAACGACAAAGAGCGAGACGAGAGAAGAGTCATAGCGGTTTCAATGGAGACAGGAGGCTCATCGCGCTGGACACTTCGCATTGACATGGATGAAATAGAAGACTTTACAATGCAAGTAGGTGAGGAGGAAGAAGAAGAGTTGATGATAGCACGAGGCGAGAAAAGCAGCAGTGAAGAAGGATGGCATCAAATTCAATTCTCAGGCGGTAAAAAGGCACCAACAAGCTTTGTTCTCAAACTTTACACGAAGGAGGAAGAAGTATCTGATGAGAAGAAGAAACAAAGACCTCTCTTGAAACTCAGAACTGACTTGAACCGTCGCACTCCACAAGTCCAAAGGGTTCTCCAAAGACTTCCTCCATTTTGCACAATGTTTGGAAAATCCACTTCTCCTTTTACTCTCGCGTTTCTTGCTTCTCTTCCTTACACCAAATAACACTTCCCCACTCACTTGGCCTTTTGCTAACTCATTTTCTAATAAAGTTTTTTGTTGGTTACATCAAAAGCACGAGTTAAAGTCCCTGAAAATAAATGAACAGAAACAGGAAAAAAGAGCACGTAAACGACCAATAATTCTCATTTCTTAATCTCATTTCTTAATCTCATTTCTTAATCTCATAGATAAATCTCGGATAACTATACCTCAAAATTCAAATCCAAGCATTTTTGTTACTACAATGGTTTGATCATTAAATGCCTCTTTTTTTTAATTAAGAGAGAATACATGGAACATGGTAGGTCCAAATCTTGGTGGGTAGACTCAAAGATATTCGTGAAAGGGGCTCGAGATATTTTTAACAAAAGCAACAAAAATAGACCATAAAATTAAGGGAAAAAAAACATGAAATTGTCTTTATTTTTAAAAATGTTTAGAAAAAAATTAAGAAACAAATAGAGAACAAAATGACAAGTTCGAGAGTGTATAGGACAAGTGGGCAACAAAGTGAAGAGGAAGGACCCATTACGCCACACAAATAGGGAAGTGACGTGAAAACATAACAAATGAACATTTCTGCCTCCTTACCATACCAAAGCTGGACATATCCGCATGTGCCATGCATTCATATAAACATCCATATGTGTTTACACATATGCATAAATACTTTTCAACTGGATCTAAGAGAATACTAGGTGTTAGGCTAATCTAAGGGCTAACCAGCTACGCGGATACCATACAAATACTGCAATATATATGGTAGTCATGATACGAAAAATGGTTTGTGGTCTACTGATCTTCTTCAATTGTCTAGTGACCATTTGGAGTATATATATAAAGAGGTACTAATCATTAGACAACATATCTTGTAAATATATCTTTCGACGATATATAATATATGATTAAGTGATAATTGTGGAATGTATAGTAGAAAATTGATGACTTCAAGTTGCCGGAAAAACTATTAGTACATTCCTCAATAGTATATTCACAAGTTGTTTCAGCTTAAAACTCATCTTATAAAAATAAGTTATATGGTTTTAGGGCTCTACCACTAGAGTATGACCTATCCACACTATACTATAATGGAATTTAATTCAAATCTTGTATGAGAAACACAAGTTGTAGAAATAAATTATGCAGTATTGGAGTTCATAACATAAAATGCATGGGTAAAAATTGAAACATTTTATGTCCTTTTGTTTGATTTTTTTTTTTTTGAACTTTGGGTGTACATGAGTTAGGCAAAATATAAATGGCATGCATGATTAATGATGATGCATCCAAATAACAAAAGTTGTAATGGTTTTCTCTCTCAGAATTCACATCCATTACATAAGTCGTGTCGCTTCAGTTTCCAGTGTATAATTCATTGACCCACACTGCTTCATTTTTCTGCCCTCCTTTCCTTTGGGGAAACTAACCACATATTGGGTTTAATTTGGCTTTAATGGAGTTTTGCCCAATTATTAGTTAGTATGTTGGGTTGGATCAAAACAATATTTGGTTACGAGAGAAAAACTTCGACCGGACCGACAATTTGATTTCGGCTGAATTTGGCCGTGTTGCATCAGTTTTTTTCAATCAATGCCAAGTCAGATCAACTTTATCAACCTTAAAACCAAAAAAAAACAAATCAGATCAACAAGTCAAACTCAATCGGATCAAATGGGACATATTATATGACCAGACCTAACCTAGCTAGCTGCAACAGTTAAGATATGAAATCAGAAGAAAAATCTTGACAATGATGATTAAGCAAAAGAAAGTTTCTTGGTATTTAAGTCGGTAAGATTTCGAATTAATATTATCCAAAATAAGCATTGCCTCACTAATTTTATCAATTTAAACTAATTTTTCTTTAATTGTCAACAACATGCATCCTACCGCATTTGAACAATATCAATGCTAGACATATTTTTTTGTTTTTTTTCTGCTCTTTATAGCTACTTGAAATTTTAAGTATTTCACAAACCTAAGTAAACAATCAAGTACATAGATTATCTTTTTAAAAGCATTTGATTAAGCACAATAATAGAAATTAAGCAATCCTAATTGAAGAACACATAATTAACATGAGCTTTAGGGCTTGACTGGTTTAAACGCAGCGGTTGCGGTTGCGGTTGTGGGAGTTTGCGGAAGCGGGCGGTTGCGGTTTCAAGCGTTATTTAGCGTTTTGACCGACTGGTTTAGCGGTTAAAAATGGGTGCGTTTGCGGGAGATTTACGACTGGTTGATCAGCGGGTACGATAGCGGTTAAACCAAAGTTTACCAAAATAAATTTAATATATGATTATAAAAAATTATAAAACACCAGAAACTACAATTATGAAAAGTATAAAATTTTAAACATGATTAATGATTAAAAACCATAAATAATTATTCAAATAAATTTTTATATTGAAAACAAAAATAATTATTAATATTAGAAAATTAAAGTTAGATAATTATTATTTTTTTATAATTAACGTGAATATAAATAAGACATGATAATATATATTTTAATTTATTTATTTTCTTTTTTTAGTTTCCTTCCTTTTTTAGACCAACCGCAACCGCCCGCAACCGCAAACGCTTACGGGAAGGAGCTTTTAAAATCCAGCGATTTCGAACGGTTCGAAGCGGTGTGGAGCGGTTTCTATGATTGGTACCAACCGCTAACAACCGCAACCGACCGCTAACAACCGCTAGGCGGGTGCTAGCGGGAGAACCAATCAAGCCCTTACTCATTTATTTATTGTTTGAACTGATGAGCTTTGCTCATCTACTATACATTTTTGCAGCAGTTTTTGGGGTACCCAAATCGGGTCAAATTTGTTTAATTTTGACCCGGAAATCTTCAATCGGATCTTTCCTTAAATTTTGGCAAAATTAAAAAACGAAAATAATTAATAAAATCTAAAATATATATACTTTCTCAACTAATTACTATATTTAAACGCTTTATTTATGGTATATTCTCCACGATTTTTATAGATAAAAAAATCAAATATGATGATTTAATGCTAATATAACAAATTTGCACTAATTTCCTAAAACCTCTCTACCTAATTTAAACATAAATATATGATTCTTATTTCACTTTTATTTGATCTTATATTTATACTAGATTTTAACCCGCGGTACACCGCGGGGCTATATTTTCTTAAAAAATCAAAATGTAATTTGTTTGATAGATTATTTTGATTGTTAATTTTAGGATTTCACCCGTGGTATACGATCTTTTATAAATATCAACCCAAACCCGTCCCATCATATTACCCGTCCCGTGAAATTAAACATTATTTAGTTATTTTTCTTTTTAATAATACTTTTATTTAAAAGCTATATAATTCAAGTCAATTTAAAAATTTCTTTTAAATGGTTCCCATAAGATATATATACATATATATTAAATTTGTATAGAGTTGAAATAATATTAATATTACAAATTTTTTATATAATTTAAATATTATAAATATTTTTAAAAATATGTAATATATATTTTTTGTTATTGAATAAGAGGATATTATGTGTAAGAAATGTAGAAAATAAGAGTTTAATATTTTTATTATGGAGTCGCAAAAAAATCTTTTATTTCTATACATGTTATTCATTTATTAATAATAAAAGAAAACAAATCCTTTAAATTAGATATTAACTAAAATAAACGCACCATAATTACTTATTAAGTAACAACCAATAAATTTCACCAAAAAATAGGTAACAACCAATAAATTCTAAACGCAGTAATTAAAGAATGAGATATTAAAAAAAAAATATTAAATAAGATATAAGAATCTTAAAATAATTGAACATCTAAATAATTTAATTGTTAGTGTCGATTTTAATGCCTTCATTAATGTGGATTTTTTTTTTTTACAGAGAAATATTTCCTAAAGATTATCACATTAATGACTCAGAAAATTAAGGAAGATATGAATTTATGATTCTCGAAATCGTATTGGTAATATCTTTAATTAATATTTTTCAAATTTAAATAATTAATACCAATGGCATTCATCCGTAAATAAGGTCCAACTCCAGGATTTATTTGCTAAAAGTCATTCAAAAATGTATATATAGATTATTTTAAATTATTATAAAATATATAAATAGTTAGTAAATTTTAGTTTTTTTTTTTCTGCATATGTTACAATTCAAATTTTTTAAAACGGACATATATTACTCAATCGATGAATAAAAATATGTGTGTAATCTATATTAACATTTTTAAGAACAAATTGAGCATTTAATCATGTCGTTATTTTATTCAGACCCGAAATTGAGTCATTCGGATCTTTCTTTAATTTTTACAATTATCTAAAATGGGACAGTATATCACGGGTGAAATCCTAATTAGTATTTTAAGATACAATTATAAATTGTTTTTACGGGTTGGTCCAAAAACACACACTAATTTAAAAATATACATGGAAACTATTTGAAAGCAACTTTCAAATTAACTCGAATTATATGACATTTAAATAAAAGTGTTATTAAAAAAATAACCAAAAAGATGTTTAATTTCATTTTAGATTATATGGTTGGACGGGTTTGGGTCAATATTAATACGAGACAATATACCACAGGTGAAATCCTATAAATAACAAATCAAAATACAATTATACAATCTTAAACACTAAACAAAACAAATACAACTTAAAATTTTTTATTTTAGATACAACGCATGTGACCCGCGGTATACAACAAAAAATATTATACACAATAAATTCATCAATTTATAAAAATAAAAAAATCAAATAATTAACCTGCGGTGTACCGCGGGTCATATCCTAGTTTTTACAGCATTTTAGTAACTACTCACTTATGAAGAAAGTATGACGTCATAGGAAATTTAATTCCTCGGATCCCAACTCTTTCTTCTCCTTCTAAAATGTAATTAAATACAAATAATGATGCAAATAATCTTAAACAAAAAAATATAAAACAAATTTACAAAACTAACATGATTATTCAAGCAGAGAGAGACGGGAAACAACTCCCAGATCGGAGAAGCGACCGTCGTGACTCTACACCGTCGATCCCCGGCAAAGCTCCGCTCGAGCTAGTCCTCGTGGTGGTTCTCCGTGGAGAGCCATCGAGGCTCCGCCGTAGAATCCTACCAATGACTGAAATCGGATCTTCCTCCTCGTCAGGGCTCCAAGAACGGAAACGGTGGCAAAACGTCGTGTGACGGCGGAGAGCTTCCTCGACGGAGATACGAGTAGAAGATCGAACCACCTCGTCTTTTACCGCCTCCGCGCAAAGCCCACAAAGCCAGTGTCCTTTGTGCCGTTCTTTGACACGGTTGATGTAAGCCGGCGTACACTCTTCAGCGAAACCGCACGTGTCGCACGTGACAGACTCCACCGCCGGCAACGACGACGACGGCTTTGCGTTAATATCAGTGGCTGATGATGATGATGATGATGACATGATTTGTTTTGTGGAAAATGAGATTGAGAGACTAATAAAATTCTCTGTTACGTCTCTGGCTTTAAGGTTTACAGATACAGGTGGTCTTTATTGGATGTATATATATAGATTATACTTGGAGACATATGTCTCTGTTATTATTTTATTTTTATTTTGTTATGAGAAAATTATTATTATGTGTATGTTAAATAATGTGAGGTTGGAGGAGGATTTGGCTTCATGTGAGTGAGATAATGTGGCGAGAAACCTTTTGTTTGTATCTTGAAATTATGCATGTGGGTGTGGATGGATAATTATTGAATTTTGTTTTGAGTAAGTTATAAATTCGTAAAAATAATTTATGCAATCTTGCGGATAAAAGACAAGACGATGTTCATTTTTTCACTTGAATGTATTAATCTAAACTTGTGTATATCGAACAAAATTTATCGAATCTACAATTTTCAGTTTGTTATATATCATATCTTTGTAATTAGTTAAGTCTATAATCTTAGTCCTTAGAAGATTAAATTAGATTCTCTTTGTACTCGTATATTATATAACCGAAAGAGAGAGACAGTTAGCATATTAAAATGGAATCAATAAGAATGATCAGCAAATAGTCCAACTTGTGGCGACAACTGATACAACAAGTGAAACTTTTTGAACTCATTGTGAGGCGAAGAGGTAGCTTTGTGATTTAAAGAGTAGCATTTATTACTTGCTACTTACTAATGACTCTGAATTAGTTCATCAGTGATACGTATAATGGGAATATATGTTGCTTGAAAGTTGAAGCAATAGGTATAGAGAATGATAAAATGTGGACCTGAAATTGAGGTTACCCGTCGAAGAATCGATGTGAATGTAAAACGGCTTGAAAAACAAGAAAAGATTTGTGGTTACATGAAAAAAAAGAAGAGGTGGTCCATGTTTTTTCAATGGCAATAGTTGAGAGGGTACCTAGTCCTTGAAGCAATACTCAATTGGTGAAGTATGAATTTGGTTAACATCCTATTGGGAGAAATTGACCAGATTTCCAATAATGGGATACATTAATAATTTTATAGAGGCTAAAAAGATCTTGATTGTTCTTCTGTTTACACTATTTTTATATCCAATGTATCTTTAAGCAAAAGTTATTTTGTTAGTTGTAAACGTAAAAAAGTTCTATGTAGACGAAATAATGCTTACCAAGTGTTGTTAGCTCGACTAGAAAAATACCAAAAACAAAGTTGAAAGAACACAAGTTCGAGTGGTACTTATTAGATTACCATATTTCACGTTATACCTATTTTTCCGGTGTACTGGCTCAAAAAATTTGTCAACAAAAAAAACAGAAGTAGATGTATATGTGTTTGCATTTTATACAATTTTTATATATTTTTTTATTCTTCTTAAAATTTAAATATCAAAAATGTTATTTTATGCAAATGTGAAGATAAAATTACATCAAAATTGTGAACGCTAGATATTTATGTGAAACAATCGAAGCCTAAGTCTCCGGCCAACGTTAATTTGGACGTACAATCTTAGGGGAAGTCGATGGTGGCTAGTGTTTAAAAGAATCTAGAATACCCCTATGCATTTTAAATAGTAAGCCATATAGACATTGTACTATATATATACTGCCATCACATGCTGGGACCAAATATTCAACGAGTGATATGTGACAACTATATGATAAATATTATCGTACCAATATTTCATAAGATTATTTTACATTACTGTTAAATTTTATTTACCTAAAAATTGAGGAACGTGCAACAGAAGTTTTAAAAGTACTGCAGCTTTCTGCTTGGAAAACGATATTCGTCCTTGGCCAATTCAGAATTCTCTCGATTTCGTTCGTTCTCATTTCTTATCTTTTCTCAAAACTCTTTTTCTCTTTTCAATTTAGTTAATTACTAAACCAATTAATGGCTCAGAATAGTAATTAATTTCCTAGCGGGAAATTAAATCTTTATATGAAGTTGATGCTCCTTTAAAGTCTGTTGAACTCTGATAAGGTCTTTTGTCTTAATATATATATATATATAATTAAAATAGAAGATAAAAACATAAAAATGTTATACTGTCTATGTATGCCACGTTATAAGAATCTATTAGATTATGACAACATAAATATGATGTAAGCTAACCCCAAATAAAAACCAAAGAACAAAACGTTTTTTCTGATAAACGTTGATCAAGTCAAGCAAAAGAGGTTTGCTACGTTTGGGTTTGGCTTACTCTAGGCGAAATTGTAACTAAATCAGAAGCTTTGACTTGTAGGATTGATTTGAAGACAAGCACCTAACAAGCTCGTGCATTGTAATGGCAATATTGTAGTTTTCGTTACGAGTATGATGGTTGGTGTAAGTCGATTTAACTCTATATACTTTGGGAGAGATCAGATATCATTTTTTCGGTAAGATTTTTTTTTTTTTTCGGTGAGATTCGATATCATGTATATAGTATGTAAAATTTTCCAATATATATGTTTGAAAGTGAACAAATATGTCGATTCTATAAACAAAAAGATTGATTTAAGAAACAAAGATACAAACAAAAGATATTCGAGAATTTATCTAATTAGAACATGATGTTGAAGCAATGAACTTCATGAAGCAGTTGCAGCATAAGTGAAGCTAAACCGGTATAAGCATGTGATTGCCGGACTAAGGAGTTTTTTTAGTGCTTAAAATGTTTTGCTAAGAAGATTTTTTCACATAATACAAGACTGGTAAAAGAGTGATATATACATCTGATGAATTTTTGGGTTTATAATTTCGAATTAAGGATTTAGTTTTGTTATGGAGTCCATATGATAGATAAATGTTAAGAGTTTAGAATTTTAATAAATATTGATAAGTTAGACGTCTACATTAAATAAAAGCACCATACGGATCTCAAAATATTTACTTTGTCCCATAATTGTTGTTTCAATAATTAGCTTGGCATCCATTAATCGCCATTTTTTTAATTGATCTTCCTTTTTTTGCCATTCACCAAGAAAAAAACAGTTGATTTGATGTTCAATCACAGATTCATAGTTAATTACGTTTTAGATTCGTTTTCTTAATTAAACAAGGAAGATGATAACCAATCATAAATAGTTACGTTTTCGAATCGTTTTCTTAAAGAAGCAACATGTTCTTTGTCTCTATCGCTCTCACATATGTTTCTCTATATATGTTGGTACAAGAAATACAAAATAATTGAGTAGTACGATTTGCAATTTTTAGTTATAGAATTGCTATGATCCGTCAATACAATTACAAATGTAATATATCAATTATGTGTAATGTGGTACAAAAATCGACTTGGAACAGCTAGCGTGGTTTTGTCTTCAAACATGAATGATAGCTCAATTCTTTGAGGAACAATTCTTGGGTTCTTCGTTCACCTCCTTTAAATTTAGCCAAAACCAAAAGAATTTCAAAATTTCTTAGTAAAATTTTTTTTTTTGAAAATATTGGACCTTTTATCTTTAAGAAAATATTTGAAATTGGTAGTGAACCCATGGCATTTGCCTAATCTGCCATGGAATAGAGACGGGGCTGGTGTCATGTAAGATTACATTTAAATAGAAATAAGAAATTCAACTTAAAACTAAACAAATTAAGAAAATAATTTTTTAATCTTTTTGTTGAGACGTCTTCCCCTCTTTTTCTTTTTTTCTTTTTTTTTTTTTTTATTTTTTACCAAGAGATTTAGATTAGGGTTTAGGTGTTCTACAAACATCTAACGAATTGAAATTAAGATTTCATAAACGTGTGAGAGCTTGTGAGTGTTTACAAGTCTCGGATTGAGTTTACCGGTTGTGATTGGTTAAACTTCAAACTCATATTGTGACGAGAGTTTGCGAGCCTCGCGAGCTGTTTATTATTTGAACAAATAAACTTCAATCAAATAAACTTCAATCGAATTTCAATCAAGACTTATTGTCTTTTGGTCCTAATATCCTGCAAATCAAATAGATTAATCTTCTAGTTTTGTGTCTCGATATCTCTACAAGGTGAGAGTTTAGAGACTTGTTGTCTCTTGTTTTCAAATTTTTAAAAATTGAAATAGTTAAACGGGACCTGCACTGTTGGTTTGTATTTCTGGTTTTGCAAAACCTGCAACTTCTAGTTTGATCTCAGACTTGGACAGTATCAACGTTGCGAGCAAGTTGTGTTTTGGTTTAGATTTCTTAGCAAATCGAAATTGATGATGGAGTAACGGCGAGAAGACGTCATCGACGTTAACAAAAAGATTAAAAAAAATTATTTTCTTAATTTGTTTTATTTTGTTTAATTTTAAGTTGAATTTCTTATTTCTATTTAAATGTAATCTTACATGGCACAATTTCATTGGCTAAATTTAGAGGAGGTGAATGAAGAGGTTCACCCCTAGGAGTGAACCCAAGAATTGTTCCTCTTTGAGTATCTTCTTGTTTATTATAAGAATACTCACTTATTAGATTTATGTTTTCTTTCTAATCTCGACCGTTAAAACACATTTCATTTTTCTTACCTACTTTTTTTTTTTTTTTTTTGCTAAACTGTTAATATTATTAGAAAAATGAAACTGTTTGACTGTTACATAGTAAAGCCAGAAACTAAGAAATCTTGGCAAAAAAAATAAAAACAAGATTTCAGAATTGGGAAGGCACACATAGTGAGCTTAGATTAACCATAGCTGCATCAAATCGCGAAAACGCTTCCGATGCCGGCGAGCCGTGATAGTGTTTCGAATATCCCTGTTGATAAGATTGAAAATAGCACCTGAGGAGATATTGGAGTGATTGTGGATCACATTGTTTCGCTGCTTCCACAAGTGATAAATCGTAGCCTGTGCAACCAATTTCCTTAAGATTGAAGGAGCGGTCAGTGAAGAAACTCTTAACCAAGACAGCAGCTCAGACCAAGAAAGGAACAGAGACCTGTTCGGATCAATTCTCTCCAAAACAGAGAGCCAAATATCAGAAGAATAGGAGCAGGTGATAAAAAGGTGATCCCTGGACTCACAATCTGATGAGCAGAAGGTACACAACGACGAAGAAATGATGCCCCAAGAGAACATACGCTGCTTTGTCGGGAGTCTGTTTAGGTGAGAGACCCACATATTGAAGGCATTCCTTGGGACCGCACCTTTGAACCAGACCGCAGAGCACCAACGGATCTCTTCCCTTCTCGGCCTCACAACATTCCAAGTTCTTGACGTAGAAAACCTTTTACTTTTGACTGAATCAATAGTCCAAAAGAATTCATCATGATTTGCAGAGCTTGTTGGAACCTGAACAGTGGTTAAATAAGCGTGCAAACTTAACGCAGCATCTGATCTTGGGGAAGGGATGGTCCAAGATAACTCATTACAAGCATCCTTCACCTTTGCTCTTAAAGGCATCCTAAGAAGCGAAGGACCCTCGGGTCCAAGACACTTGATCAAGGGGCCAAGAGGAGTCCAAGAATCATACCAGAAGTTTATAGTGCCTCCATTTCCCAATACAGCTTTTACAAACTGCTCAGCTACAGACCTCAGCCGGAGGATTGATTTCCATGTCCAAGAATCACCTTTTAGTTCCTTTAGTTCCCAGAAGCTTTTTGATTTGATGTTGTGGTATTTGTGCCATTGAGCCCAGAGAGATTCATGTCCTGAAAATAAATTCCAGACATATTTTAAACAGAGAGTTGAATTCCAAGCAGTGAATCTCCGCAGCCCTAAACCTCCCTCTTTTTTGGGTAAGCAAACTTTTGCCCAAGCCACTTTTGCGCCCTTACTTGCATCAGTTTTCCCAGCCCACAGGAACCTTGAGCAAAGTGACTCAATCTTCTTTATGCAGCCCTTGGGGAGGATGAATGTAGAGCACCAGAAGTTCACCATCCCGTAGATGACAGAAGCAATCAATTGTGTTCTCCCAGCGAAAGACAGGGATTTAGCAGCCCAACCTCTGAACTTACCAGCAATTTGATTTAAAAGAGGGTCATATTCTGATATTCAAAGCTTTCTATGCATCAGTGGTAGGCCAAGATAGCGAATAGGGAGAGAGGCAACTGGGAATCCATGTCTAGCAATTGCAACAGAATCTGAAGGAGAAAGGCCTGCGTGGAAAAGGTTAGTTTTCTCTCTATTCATCTGCAGTCCAGACCAGGAAGCGAAGTCATCTAAAGCTTCATTTATGCCGTGGAGGGAGGCTTCAGTTCCGTCAAAGAAAATCATAACGTCATCCGCAAACATCAGATGCGAAAGAGATATACCTGATGTTTTAGGATGAAAACTGATATATCCTTGCTCAAATCTGGAATGTAGCAATCTGGAGAACACCTCCATAGCCAGCACAAATAGGTAAGGCGAAAGCGGGTCTCCTTGCCTCAGGCCCTTTGTGCTCTTGAAAAATCCACTTGTGTTGCCGTTTAAACAAACTGAGAAAGTCGGAGTAGAAAGGCACTCAGAAATCCAGATCAAAGGCACTTAGAAAGGCACGCAAGTAGGCCCTTTCTTACCTACTTGCGGCAAACATTGTGGTGGTCTTTTTGGTATACATGTATAACCAAAAAAAAAGACAAAATGGCACCATGTGATATCCAGATCATTCAAGTGTACAACAAATTCTGGGGTGAGCATATTTTTCAGAAGTTTATCATATTCTAATAATTCAATGGATAAATTAAATTATATCGAATAATTCGACGTAATAATTTGCACACTATAGAAATCATGAAATATGAAAATATGTACCAATCTGGATTTTACGTAATTAGATTTGCAGTACAAAATATTTGTACTAACAAACTTCACACTTGAATATTTTATATTAAAAAAAAAAAGTGAAGAGGGGCGATAGAAAAAGCGATTGATACGACTTTTCTTCTGTGATTTCTCCGACCGACCGGCGTCGGCTCCGACGTCGGTTGTACTCTTTCCTCTTCATAAATTTAACAATTACTAGTTTATATACATAGATTTTAGTTATCAATAATGGGTATTCCAGAATCAACTGCTCTTGGTTGGCCCCTTTTCACATCTGTTGGTGATTTTCATGGCCGTCAATTACGTTGGAGATTCCATTTGGTTCTCGTTGTTCTTAATTCCATTGGCAACAACATTGATCTTCTCTTGACAAAAATGGTCTGGTGTGGCGGCGTAGGAGATAAGCTTTTAGGTTTGATGGAGTTTTTGATAACAAATAGAAGTGTGGGGTTGTCTACGGCTATGGGCTATGCAGCCATGGATGTCGCAAGTCTTCTCATGCATGAATCCCAACAAGTCTCTCTGTTTCGTCGGGTAAGTTACGGCTATCTTGTCTTAGTGATAGTGATGGGTTTGTCTGGCAGCGAAGGACATGAGAATTTAGAGATGATGATGTCTTTGTTAACAAATTCATGGTTGGGTTTGTTTCAACTTTTGGTCTCCACGACGGTGGCCGACGTCATTACGTTTTTCGTTGTTAGGGTTTTCTCTCCTCCTTCCAGAGGAGTACTTGTCCGTGTGATGACTATGTGGTTCATTCACGGTGTTTTTCTGGGTATGCTCGGCGTTTTCGGTCTGGCGACAATAATTGTCGACAGCGATTTAGTGAAAATTTGCAATCCTAGATGCATATGGGATCCCGGAATTACATCGAAGGCATTTGTCGTGAAGATCTCCAACGACGTCTATGGTGTGGAATGTACAATAGGATGGGCCTACACCGGTATCAAGCCAAACTTTTTGCTTCGTGCAATGGCACCGATATGGACTAATTGGTATCGGAATGTCGAGATTATAAAACTCATTACAGGAGCAACGGGTTTATTCTATGTGATGTGGAGTTTCAAACAAAGAATGCCAATAAGGCATCTGTATCACACTCGAGTAAGATGGCTTTTAAAGAAGGAACATATCATGTATTGTAACATGATTGCGAGTAAGGCTTATGGAAAAGAAGCATCGTTAAATTCACTTCTTCGATTATGTCATCTTCAACATATGGCTCATAAATTTGCTTATGTAATAAACTGCCACTGTAAAGTTTTGTATTGGCATTGTATGGTTGTAATACCCATTGTTTAATAAAAGTTTTTAGAAGGAAAAAAAAAAGAGAATATTTTATATAAAAAAAAATTTTAAGGGGAAGAAATCTTTCAAAAATCATTTTTTTTGGTTATTAAATCATTCTTACTTGACAAAAACAAATGGATTTAAGTGAATTTGTGATTAGTGTTTTTAGTAGACATTTCAATTAGGGCCAAAGCCCGCGGGCTAGCTCGGCCCAGCCCTGAAAAAAACGGCCTCGGACTTCAAATATATGTCCAGAAAAAAACGGGCCTTTCGGACTAAGCCCGTTCGGGCTACAAGGTTTTTTGGGCTTAGCCCGGCCGGGCTCGGACTAGCCCGAAAAGCCCTTTAAAAAATATTTTGACCCATTTTTTTTAATATTTTCGTTTAATTGTAAGATTTGTTGTAAAAAAATTTTTTTGACAGAGTTAAAAACCCTAAACTTAGTTTTTTTTTGTTGTGTATTACTATAAATCGAAAAAGCAAATATTAGCTCTACTACCTAATTTGAATTATTTTGATTTTATATTTTATTTAGTATAAGTTTAAACAATTTATTTGGATTATTTATTTGATTTTAACTCTTTTTTTAAAAACTAAATTAGCGTTAGTGGTTATTTAAATTTTGATTGACTCGTTTCATATATAGATTTTTTTTAAGAGATATTAGAAATTATAAGTTTTTTTTTTTTTGTCGGAAGAAAAGCACAAAAAAGCCCAGAAAAGCCCTGTAGCCCTGTTAGGGCCGGGCCGGACTTTAAAGTATAGGCTCGGAATTTTTACGGGTCAGACCGAACCGGGCTCAAATATGTACAGGTTTTGCGGACTTCAGGCCGGATCGGGCCGGGCTAGCCCGATTGACATGCCTAGGAGTTTTTGATGGTTTTTTTATTTTCTTTCTAGAAATTTATGGGTAGCTCGAGAGTGGAGAAGTGTTATTTGGGCCCTGTTGGGCCATTTTGAGTGGTGCATGCACACATGGTTAGCAATTAGCATGCATGTGAGTAGGTAGGTAATGTTGCAATGTTAGACTAATTAGGATTAAGTTAGTAGAAACTTAAAAATTATTCCTCCACCTCTCTCTATGGCCATTTTTCTAATTAGGTAATGTTAAAATGTGGCCATTTTGCAGATGTCAGAGAAAAAACTGATGTCACAAGGAAAAATTATAAAATTGTTCAAAACATATTGGTGTTAGTTTTTTTTTTTTTGGTAAACTTTTTATAATTAAAGTTATTTTAGTTTCCATCCACTACGATTATTCTAAAAAACAAACGACCCAAGTTCAAAGCAAATTACAGAAATCATTAAACGCCGACATGTGATTAGGGGTCATCAAATAATTCAAAGCCTTTTTTTAAAAAAATTATTGTTCTCTCTCTCTTTCTCTCCCAAATTTATTTGAATTTGATTATTTTCTTTGTATTGATTTCTCGATAGTAATTTCCTCCTACACGCCTCTCTCCGTACGGTGTCTCCGGTGAATCGGATTTCATCATCGCCGAACCCAAAAGAGTGTCTAATCATCGGAATCGTTCGATTCAATTTCTTCCCAAATTCTTTGAATTGATTGACGAGGAGGAGATTTGTATTTGATCTGTTATCTCAGATTCCAGGTATGTTCATAATCATTTTGCTGATTTACTTAGGTTTTCATTTCGTCTCATAAACTGTCGGGTTTTATCGTGGCAGAAATTCGAAAATTTCCATTTTGCCGAATGTTGGGTAATGAATTGAGACTTTCCTTAATTAGTACGATTGAGGAAATGGTTTTAGTTGCGTTAAGATTTGAATTAGGGTTGGGATAAAAAACCTTTCCGATTATGCAATTTTGCGTCATTTTCTAAAACTTTGATCTGATTGTAGTGAATTTATCAATTCAAGTAATGCGTGGGTTTTGTTTTTGTTTTTTTTTACCAGTTTTAGTTCTAATGGAACAGTGTTTTGGTAGGTGGAGATGTTAATTTAGCTAAATTGTGTATATGATTTGCCCATCAATTTCACTCTTTAAAAATGTAAACTTGTCTATATCTCTCTAAATGCATTTTGTTGGGGTATTAATCCATGTTTCTCTCATAGCAAAATATCTGGGTTTGTGTCTCTTGTGATGGGATCAACATCATTAACGTTTAGGATTTTTTTTTTTTATTAGGATCCAATTTTTTTTCTTTCTATAACACCAATAATCTTATATGATTAGGCAAGGAATCTACTCATAAATGTGTTGATCAACTAATTGTTCTGAAAGGATCACTCTGAACCTCGAGCTAGCTGGACATATGCCTTGATCTAGTATGAACGAAAGTTTCTCTGGAACGCCGAGAAGCATGACCCTCCATAGAAATAGGTAGAATATCTTCTAGTTGATTGGTTGTAAATTTTTTTGCTGACATGTGTATGTAAGTAACTAAGCAGTCTAAGCTAATAAGAAAGGTTTATTTTTTGCTGGGTGATGTGATCCTCTCTGTTTAGGAGAATCGAAGGCTACCCACCCCCTTTTGTTTTTATAATTTTTTGTTTGGTTTAGTTATCTTTTATTCAGTGTGACAGAATGATATCTTACTGCTAATTTATTGGAATTTGTATAGGATGAAAAGAGGAGCCCTTAGACGAAGGGCTAGGGATATCTCTGTTATGCTTGTTGTGCTTGTTTGTGCAACCGTCGTCATATGGACATGGGATAAAACTCCAACCTCGGCCTTTCTTCCTCCTGAAAGTCACTATCTAAAGCTGCAATCAGGTTTAACTATGACACTAGGCTCTCTTTCTAGCAACATTTTGTTAGGCCGTTTGAATGCTGGAACAATATTATAGAGACTTTGCTTAATGTTTAAATTGATGCTGCAGTGCTGCTTGACAGCGAAATGTGTTACTTCTAGTTTCCCGTAGACTTTTTTTTTCCCCCAAAAGTATCAATATTTTTTCTTTCACTTGTTTTTCTCCTGTTTATGTTTCACAAATCACTGTAGATGTTCTTCAAACGAATTGTACAATTAGATTCTGGGGGTATATCTGACCTAGTTCTTTGTCATTTGCAGAAGAAAAGGTTGAGAGACTACCTACTGCACTGAATACTGAAACTAAAGACATCTATTCATTAGCTACTCCATTTGTAAACAAAGGTAATGTTAATTGCATTTACTGCAGCTCTTTCATGCATCTTGTAAGCTGCTCAAACGTATTTTTTGCACCCTGTCTGTTGTATTCTGAATTTGGGGAACTAAGCTTGGCACAAAAAATTTCTTTTCCCGGCTTTTCTATGACAGAGGGAAGCAAAGTGGATTCACCTGATAATAAAGATACAGAAGAAGAAGAAGAGAAACAAGTGGAAGAAGCTACTGTAAGTGATATGAATCAAGGAAAGACACCAACTATTGGAGAGAAAAAAGTAGAACAAGTGGAACATGAAGTTATTGCAAGTGAGCCAAAATATCGGAAGACGCCAACTAGAGAGGAAATTAAATTAGAAAAGGTGAAACATGAGGTTGCTATTGGTGATGGCGAAGCTAAGAAGACAACACATATTAAAGAGACTAATTCAGATCCAGAGAGTAATATTCTTGCAACAGATGAAGAGAGGACTGATGGTAGTACTTCAACAGCTCGCATCACGAATCAAGGTAGAGAATCTTGTTTTATAGATCCCAGTTTTATGATGCGTGAAAGTATCTTAGGAGTGTTCATTATTCTGAAACTGGATATGACTAATCTATTTGCATCTCGGTGAAACAATTAGTTATAAATCTTCTACACCGTATTGACGTTGTTTTAGTATGATTCCCTCCTATGTGAAATAATTGGTTGTCTTATAATTTTTTTGCCCAGCTTGCAATTATGCGAAAGGGAAATGGGTTGTGGACAATCACCGTCCTTTGTATTCAGGATCTCAATGCAAACAGTGGCTTGCTTCAATGTGGGCGTGCAGGTTGATGCAACGTACAGACTTTGCCTTTGAAAGTTTAAGATGGCAACCTAAAGATTGCTCTATGGAAGAATTTGAGGGTTCCAAGTTCCTGAGAAGGTAAACAAAATTTCCTATATCTCATTCCAACTTATGCATGTGTTAAATCCATGTATCCATAGACGTAGTCAAGTGTCCCCATCAAGTCCTTAGTAACAGTGCGTGGCTCTATTTTACAAATGCCTTCAGGATGAAGAACAAAACCCTAGCCTTTGTTGGAGACTCGTTGGGAAGACAACAGTTTCAATCTATGATGTGTATGATCACGGGAGGCAAAGAGAGGCTCGATGTCCTTGATGTGGGACCAGAATTTGGGTTCATAACTTCCGAAGGTGGAGCTCGTCCTGGTGGCTGGGCTTACAGGTTCCCAGAAACTAACACAACGGTCCTATACCACTGGTCATCTACACTCTGCGACATAGAACCGCTCAACATCACTGACCCCGCAACTGAAAATGCTATGCATCTCGATCGCCCACCAGCGTTTTTACGCCAATACCTTCATAAGATCAACGTCTTGGTAATGAACACAGGTCACCATTGGAACCGAGGGAAGCTCAACGGTAACAGATGGGTGATGCATGTTAATGGCGTTCCCAACACTAACAAGAAGCTAGCCGCTCTTGGGAACGCCAAGAATTTCACAATCCACAGCACAGTTAGTTGGGTTAACTCACAACTCCCTCTCCATCCCGGTCTCAAGGCATTCTACAGAAGCCTTTCACCGAGACATTTCGTGGGCGGGGAATGGAACACCGGAGGGAGCTGCAATAACACAACCCCAATGTCTATCGGGAAAGAAGTTTTGCAAGAGGAGTCAAGCGATTACAGTGCGGGTCGTGCAGTGAAAGGTACAGGGGTTAAGCTTTTGGACATAACAGCCTTATCTCATATTAGAGACGAAGGTCACATATCACGGTTCAGTATCTCGGCTGCTCCGGGAGTTCAAGATTGCCTCCATTGGTGCTTGCCCGGTGTTCCTGATACATGGAACGAAATCCTTTTTGCAATGATCTAAGTTTTCAAGTTACAGAGAAAGGGCTTGAGGCAAATCAAAGCCGGCCTTTGATAGCGTTCTACAACACACATTTAAGTTTTAGCGGCCGCCTGAGGTGTAAGTTAGTATTTATTCTGGTACAAAACCAAAGCTCTGGGTATCACAGACGTATTGTCGTTAGCATAACCAATTAACCATACCGGGGTTTGGTTTCGACCATATTTTACAGAACAGATTCTAACTCTTGAAATTTGTCTTTGATCGATTAAAAGAAAATTTGAGAGTTAATTCTGAAATGTTCATGTGTTATCGTTTGGATTCTGCTTTGATGGGCGCAAATAACCCTGAGACATACGAACCGATTGGAAACCTATTCTGATTCGTCCGAATTTAAGATACTAAGTTTAGTAATTGCAATTAGGTAAGTCAGTTTCTATAACAGTGTGATGAGACTTTTTATCTGTTGAAAAGGAAATAGATTAAGTTTCAAGATCTGATCAAAAAGATTAAAGATTAAGCTCTCAGAAACAAACAGCAAAAAGCTATTTTTGGCAAAAAGAAAGTCTAAACTTTGACAACTAATTCTATCAAAGAAAAAATGTCATCCTTCCCTTCACAACCCTCAGAAACAAACAATGACCAAACTTTGGAACAACAAACACAATCTAAACAAAACCACACCTCTCAACAAACTATACAGCATCATCATCAATATCAAAAACAAGGTCCTTGTTTTAAGACATAACATACCAACAAGAAGAAGAAAAAGAAGAAGAGCATTCAATCCATGGCTGCTGCTCCTGGTTTCTTCCTCCTCATCCTCCTCTTCTGTTTTTCAATCTCCCCTTCTTTGCAGCACGTGAGCGAGTCCGAACCGCTTGTGCGCTTCAAGAGCTCGGTGAATATAACCAAAGGGGACCTAAATTCATGGAGATTAGGAACAGATCCTTGCAGTGGGAAATGGTTCGGGATCTATTGCCAAAAGGGTCTAACAGTCTCAGGCATTCACGTCACACGGCTTGGTCTCTCAGGAACCATCACCGTCGATGATTTAAAGGATCTCCCAAATCTTAAGACGATCAGGCTTGACAACAATCTCCTCTCTGGTCCTCTCCCGCATTTCTTCAAACTCCGAGGCCTAAAGTCTCTCATGCTCTCTAACAACAGCTTCTCCGGCGAGATCCGTGACGATTTTTTCAAGGACATGTCAAAGCTCAAGCGACTATTTCTTGATCATAACAAATTCCAGGGAAATATCCCTTCCTCCATTACACAGCTCCCTCAACTCGAGGAGCTTCACCTTCAAAGTAATAACTTCACCGGAGAGATACCTCCAGAGATCGGCAACATTAAGAACCTTAAAGTCCTCGACCTCTCAACCAACCAACTCGAAGGAACCGTCCCGGAAAGCATCGCCGATAGGAAAAATCTCGTTGCGAATTTGACAGAAAACGAATACTTGTGCGGGGCGATGATCGACGTTGAATGTGAGGATATTAACCTAACCGAAGGGGAAGGACATAACCGGAAAGCACCAACCTCGGTACCACAAACCTCGAACACGGCCACGGTACACGCAATCTTGGTGTCGATCTCGCTTCTTCTCATGTTCTTTATTATTGTGGGAATTATAAGGAAGCGAAATAAGAAGAAGAACCCTGACTTTCGAATGCTCGACAACCAACGCAACAACGATGCTGTGGAAGTCAGGATATCCGAATCTTCATCCACGACCGCGAAAAGATCTACAGATTCAAGCAGGAAGCGCGGTGGGCATGCGGATGGCGGTTCCTCCAAGAAAGGCTTGTCGAATATTGGTAAAGGTGGTAACGGAGGAGGAGCTCTAGGCGGCGGGATGGGTGACATTATTATGGTGAATACGGAAAAGGGTTCCTTTGGTTTACCCGATCTGATGAAGGCTGCAGCCGAGGTGCTTGGCAACGGTAGCCTTGGATCAGCTTACAAGGCGGTGATGACCACTGGATTATCCGTTGTGGTGAAGAGGATTAGGGATATGAATCAACTTGCACGCGAACCTTTCGATGTCGAGATGAGACGATTCGGGAAACTCCGCCACCCTAACATTCTTACCCCTTTAGCCTATCACTACCGCCGCGAAGAGAAGCTTGTAGTCTCCGAATACATGCCTAAAAGCAGCTTGCTTTACGTTTTACATGGTAACCCGAAATGCTTTTTCTAAGACCTCTCAAAAGAGGGTTTAATTTTCTTGCCAGTTAAAACATTTTAGGATCAACATAATAGAGCAGTGGATAAAAACATTTAATTACGGAACTGAAGCTAAATGAATCTTTGATATTTTCTCTCAAGGTGATCGTGGGATATATCATTCCGAGCTAACTTGGGCAACAAGATTGAAGATCATCCAAGGAGTGGCTCACGGAATGAAGTTCTTGCACGGGGAGTTTGCGTCCTACGATCTCCCACACGGTAACCTCAAATCCAGCAACGTTCTCCTCAGCGAGACCTATGAGCCTTTGATCAGCGATTACGCGTTCTTACCGCTTCTCCAACCAAGCAACGCATCGCAAGCATTGTTTGCTTTCAAGACGCCCGAGTTCGCGCAGACACAACAGGTCTCTCATAAATCAGACGTCTACTGCCTCGGAATTATAATTCTAGAGATCTTGACGGGGAAATTCCCTTCTCAATACTTAAACAACGGTAAAGGCGGGACTGATATAGTTCAATGGGTACAATCTTCGGTTGCGGAGCAAAAAGAAGAAGAACTTATCGATCCGGAGATAGTAAACAATACTGAATCAATGCGACAGATGGTGGAATTGTTGCGGGTTGGGGCTGCTTGTATCGCAAGTAATCCAGATGAGAGATTAGACATGAGGGAAACTGTTAGAAGGATAGAACAAGTAAAAGTTTGATGAGATGTTTAGAACGCATGCAATCACGATTGGAACAATTAATATATCAAACTCTAAAGAGAAGAAAGAAACCTTGGGAATTTGTAGATGTAATACTACTAAGTACTAACGACGAAGCTAAGTGTGAAACAAGGACGAAAAAATTGGGCACGTATATAGGAAAAAGGTTTTATTTCTTGTGAGGGTTTCTATTTTTCTTTTGTGGTTGGAGTGATCTATCTTTGCAAAGAAAATTAAATATAAAAAAAAACTTTTTCTGTTCCATAAGAAAACCACAACTGTTCATTAGAAAGATACAAATATTTTTACTTTTTTTTTTTTTTTTTTGTCATCAGAAATTAATTAAAGCTCAAAAGAGTCATTCCTGGGAAATGTTGTTTACATATGTGATATGAAACGGTTCTGTACGAACTTTTCGTGCCAAATTATCCGTTTTAACATTACTTTTTTCTTTTTCTTCTTCTCGTTTTCTCTTATTTTCAGTCAAAGAAAAACGTTAATGCAAACATTCACTTTTTACTTTTCTAATGGAGGAAAAAATAAAATAAAAACTGTTTTTTTAACACTAACCAATAACCATTATAATTTGGGAAAAATTCAATTCATCTCATAGTCATAGACTTATATATAGAAAAATATGTATATCGTTTAATGTGATTTAAACGACGTCGTTTAGTACAATAACGGATCTCATTAACACCACATCTGATGATTTTGTTTATCCGGTTAACGTTGTACTTCAGTTAACGAAATCAACAAAACTTGACAATCATACATATAAAAGTAGGGTTTCACTCTCTTCTTATTGGTCCATTTAGAAATTAACTTAAATTTTTTTATTTTTAACTAAATCATAAATAAAACACATTTAACTCACACTTTAATATAAAAACTGAAATCATTAAAATTATACATTAATTATATTTTTCCTCTCAATTTTATTCAACACACAATAAATTGGAATTGTAACTCCCATAATTTATTTATTTAAATTGTAACTTATCTAACTTTTCATCCTATAAATACTCATTTCTCATTCTCTCATCCTCTCATCCTCTCACCCTTCCCCTATAACTCAAATCTTAAATATTTTTTTGTTAATTTACAAAGTAAAAAGAATTTCGTTTAAAAACATTTGGTTCTTAAGATTAAAAAACGGAATCATATGGTTCAAGAAAATTAAATTTAGGTAGAATAGAAAATTAGAATGAAATCATTAGAGTGAAACCTAACACTCATACTTAAATAGAGTGAAATATACAAAACAATAATTATAATGAAAACAAAAATCATTTTATTAAATCATATAAAGATGAAACCATTAGTATAAAATCTAGCACTATAATTTAAATTGAAGAGTGAAATTTTTTTAAAAAAACTATAGAATTTATCCTTGGATCTTTGATGATTTTAATTAGATTGAAGTTCATAAAATTTTTATAAGAAAAATAAATTTAGTTTGCCACTTGCAAAATAATATGAATTTGAACTATTATGTAGGAATTTATATAAACAAACAAACAAATTATCTGTGAGTTTATATGAACAATTTATTTTGTAAAAGTAATAGATAACATATGTTTATTGATGTTTACATACATAAATAATAGTAAAGTAAAAAACAACACTAAAATATGAGCAAATACAAGATATCAAAATCTTAAGAGTCTTTTTAAAAAATTGCAATCATATTTATATTGAAACAAATATCATCCACATCATTAACATATAATAATTTAAGATTTTTCTAAAATAATATATTATAATTATATTATATGTATTTTCTCATATTTTGTAACCTCCATACTAATAATTATCATTATGTTGTTAATGCTCACACTAAATTACAACAATACTTTAAATACAATTAATACAAAATGAATTCTACACAATGAATTCTTTGAAATGTAACATAACTTTTATGATATACATATAATTAACTTACTCATAAATGACATTTAAACATAATTGTTAAAGTTGAATAGTTGTAAAACGTAAATATGTTGTTACACATATCACTAACCATCATATTCCAAATTTCATAATATTGATAAATTTTATAACAATTTCTTTTATAATCCGACTAATGGTGTTTCAATATTACATTTTTGTCAATTTTGTAAGAGGCTGTGAAGAGAAGATGACTTTTAATCAAATATTGTATTGATTAAAAGAAGTCATACACTCTTAATCATTTTTAAAAAAACATAAATATCATTTTATATAGATGAATACAATTCAAATTTTATAGAAAAAAATCAAATTTGAATTTACTGTCATTCATTTATTTTTCTTTAAATTTTAAATTCAAGTAAAAAAACTAAATAAAATAAATAGTAAACATATAACGTAGTATGCAACAAGCCGCGAGTATCGCGGCTAAATAACCTAGTTTAATTGAAAGTCAACCTAAAAATAGGTATTTAATTCAGCAGATTAAAAAAATTTGTTTTTTTCAACGAAACTGCAAAGTTCATGTTTTAAGTGACATTTTCACATTTTAAGACGATAGTTTATCACATGCAGCTACGTACTTTGCCTTATAGATATGATTATAGACTTTTTTTTTTGCTCAAAAAAAAATAAAAAATAAAAAATAAAAAAGACTTCTTAAGATTTCATATATATTCCCTCAAATCTAAACCATCAAAAGCGTATAAACTAAACACAAGGAATCCATATACTATATGTAAGGAGATTTAAAAAAAAAACAGTAAGGAGATTTATAAAGAGCAACATATAAATGGACCCGAAAGCTTGAATATTGGGTAGGAGACTCGATTCGAATACGAACAAAGACATATTAAATTTTTGCATGCAAGTCAATTTTAATGAAAGGACCACAAGAAATTAGGTTTTGTCTTCTTCTTCCTATATATTGTACTTAATTTAGTTAATTAATACTCCCTACGTTTCAAAATATAAGGCGTTTTAGCAAAAAACACGCCGATTAAGAAGATCTACTTTTTAAAAGTTCAGCCAATCATAAAAGAGACTGCATAATAAAATAATCATAAAATATTAAAGTAATATATAATTTGCATAGAAACTTGAAAACGACTTATATTGTGAAACAAAAAAGTTTCTCCAAAACGTCCTATATTTTGAAACGGAGGGAGTAATTAAGACTTTTATGGTGGGCCCCAACTACTCAGCAAATGTCCCTCTTTTGGGCTTATTCTCAGTGCTGGCTTCTTCCGTATGGGTCAATATTATTTTATTACGAGTATTTTATAGTTTTCGTATCTTTCACAAGTTGATTGATGAATAAACCACACACAGATGACAAACCAACACGGCAATAACCATTTTTATGATTTTATTATATACTATAAAAACGATACATCATAATTATGCTCAAATTATACGTATAATATTCGAATTCTTAAAACAATGTTTTCATCGCTCCATTGTTGTTGCTAATATTCGCTTCAATTATTTGATCTGATGCTTGGAGCAGTTATTCACCTTTCAAAACATCCATTAAAAGAACGGACACAAGAAAAAGGAAAAGCCATATTTTAAACTTCAAAATTATTTAATATGTTAATTATCACAAAGTACAGAAAACAAAACAAGAACCAAAAAAAAAAAAAAAAACAAGAGCATTATTCTATTTCTCGCCATGCTTAACGATCAAGAATTAGCTCTCTCTACTTTCATTCCCCCCCTCATCAAAATTTCTCGATGTTGTTTCGTTTCCACCATAATATGGACATACATGTCATAGTATATATATGCTAATTTATTTCTCTTTGCCGATTATTTATGCCTAATTACTTTATTTACCCCCGATCCCCCCAAACGTTTATGCCTAATATTGTAGAAAGAACTCCGGCTAAGTCACTAGAACTCCGGTGGAGAAAATTTGGCCGGCGGTGTAAGGAGAGGTTGAGAATTTTGATCTACACCTCTCTTTCCTTTCTTCATTTGCTATATGACTCGATCGACACTCGGTGCTGCAAAATGCTTTTTCTCCTCTGCATATCAAAAAAAAAAAAATCAATCAATAAGAATTCGAAAGATACGACCATAGTATAAAAATACTTATATATATGCTCCAAAGTTATACCTGTAAATAAATATGTCTTCACCATGAAGTTTCTTCCTGCACAAGTAACATGAATTGAGGAAACCCAAACCCTGAAACTCTGGCGAATTCTCTGGAGATTCCGTAACGACATCGACCACGAAGAGTCTTTCCCGACGATCATCGTTGATCTTACTTGAGAAACACTCAAATCCATCTTTGTCATAAATCCTTGTACTACAAGATCCACTAGGCCCATGGTGACATGTCACCAACGTGTAATCTTCCTCGTCCATTATGAACATCTCCTCGTCTTCTCCGTCCGTGCTTCCACCATGGCTCATGAACTGAACCGGATCAGACCGGCCGGGTTGGTTCTGTTCCGATCTACAAACGCTCGTGATTCGACGAGTGTTTGAGTTCTCGAGCGCGGCTACAATCCCTAGACCAACAGAGCCACCAAGATTGTCATCGTAGAATCTCTTTGAACTGTTTCTCTGAGATATCTGAGGGAGAATCTTGAAATCAAGTGGGCTTTTAGGGCTTGTCATCAAGACGTCGAAGAAAGGAGCAGCCGTGGATCGGTTGACACGGACGAGGAGGTCCGATATCTTTCCGATCATGGGATGGGTTCTTTTGGTAAGCATGATCTTGAGAGAAGGGCTTTGATCAGATTAAATTAAAAAAAACAAAAACAAAAAGAAGAAACATAAAAGAAGAAGAAGAGAGAAGATTGGTGGTGTTTGCAAACCTCCACAGAGAAGAGAAGAGATGGGAGAGAGATGTGTTATTTATGGTGGAGTTGGTGGGAGGGTTGAGAAACTGTACACTACTTTTTATTTATTGCAATATTTACAAAAAATCTCGTGAACTATTCTTATTTCACGAATAAAACCCTTACTGTTTATCTCCAAAACAAAACTACCATATAATATCTAATGACGTAACAAGCCACGAAGCGTGTGAAGCTAGTTCGAGAGTTGAACTCTTTTGGATATTTTTTTAATGAACGTCTAAGTGGAATAGCTCACCAGGTTATTATCCAAGAAAAAACAGAAGATAGAAATATATAAATTTTGTCTAATCAGTGTCTTGATCTATTTGAATTAATGTAGTATATTATAAGTGAGTAAGTCGTCAATTATCCTTATGATCAGATAGTCAAAATACTAAGGCTAATAATAAATTGACGCAAATATAATTTGGCACTTCCTAATTTAAATAATAGTGTGGGTGACACGGTGTTAAACGGCAAGTACATTATATTATTCTAGTTTTTTAACTTTAAAAATCTTATTAATCTAAGTAAATGGGCACTTAATCTCTTTAGTCATGAAGAAAATAATTGCTCTCTAGCCATAGTTTTATATATATATATAAGCTCATGTTTACTTTTAAGAAAACATAAAGTTAATGTTATAGATATGGAGATGAATTCATGCTAGTGTATATCCCACAAACGCTAAGAGAGGATAGCTTTTGGTTTCGAATTTTCACAGCGTTGTAAAATTAGTTTCAAATGCATGCAATCACAATCATCCATCCACAAACGCTACACCAGAAAACTAAAAAATAAAATCATGCATCCACAAAGATATATTAACGTTTTGTGAGCAGTAATGTCTAAACCAAACGCAACCATCTGTATTTGCCCAAACTTGTACATAACAGCAACACATGCATGTTTTCTTGGTTATTCAATAAAATAAATATTTAGTTGAGTGTTATATGTATAAGCTGAATTGACATAAACCCTAAACAATGCTTATAATGATTTAGATTTGAAAGATTTGTTTTTGTAAGAAAATCAAATAAAAGATTTTAAAATACTGACATAAAAATAATAATAAGAGAGATATTAAAACGAATATGAAGGTGAGGTGCCAGTAAAAGAGTGGTCCACAGAGAGACAACCAATTTACTTTAAAAAATACAAACCAAAACACAAAAAAAAAAAAAGTCGAGATCGACAATGTGGCCAATGGATCCCACAGGCTAAATTAAAGAGGATTCGTTGAGCACTTTCATGAGATGTGGATACGTGGCATTCATCAACAGCTACATTGTACCCTCCACTATTATTTTTCTGACGGAAAAAAGATACTCAGCTACACGAAGTATGACAGAATACATGGCTACACATGTCAAGTTTAAAAATGTACAACTAACTACACGAACTAAATGTATTGCATGCCCACATATACTAACTGTATGACGACATATGCTTAACATCACGAACATTTATTCCGGTACACTAATCAACGAAATCCGGCGTTGACCATTGTTGACCGGTATTGACCAACAAAAATATTCAAAATTTTTTTAGTAATTAGTTAATTTTTTTAGTAAATATTCAAAAAAATTTTTTTAGTAAATAGTTAATTTTTTTAGTATTGACCGGTAGTGATTTTAATAATTAGTTAATTTTTTTAACTTCAAAAGTTTTGAATCAAAACTAAACTAAAAGTGAAATGAAATAAATTTTATTATTTTTGTTAGAAAAATTGAGTATATGACTCTTTAATCTAAAGTTTGCATGTTTAAAAAATATTAAGTTTTTTTTGCTAAAATCAAAATCATAATACATAGTTAAAAACATAGAAAATTTTACATACTCTTTAGTCTAACTTTAATATATTATTAATTTATGTAATTAAAATTATTAAAAATATTCGTAATAACGGATAAATAACAAAAAAGGTCATAATTTGTTTTTTTTAATATATAGCAAATAAAAAATTTAACGATATTGATTTTAGCAAAAAACATTTATAAAATAAGAAGTTAATGTTTTTATTGACAATGTAAAGATAAGGAATTCGCTTAATTATTTTTATTTCACTTTTATTTTAGTTTTGAAATTGAAAAAACTAACTAATTATAATAATCAATTTATTAAATATATATACAAAATTTATTTAAGTTGAATATACTATATAGAATGTGTTTTCCTCTTTAATTATACAATACAATAAAAGATTTAATAGAATAATTTTTTGTTTTTGTTTTTAATATTAAAATATAAAAAAAAAATTGAATATTTTTGTTGGTCAATACCGGTCAACGATGGTCAACGCCGAATTTCGATGATTAGTATACCAGAATAAGATGTTCGTGATGTTGACCACATGTCGTCATATAGTTGGTATATGTGGGCATGCAATACATTTAGTTCGTGTAGTTGGTTGTACATTTTTAAACTTGGTATGTGTAGCCATGTATTCCGTTATACTTCGTGTAGCTGAGTATCTTTTTTCCTTTTCTGATTCGGATTTCTGTTTTACATTACTATTATTTTCCTTTTCTATATGGTCCCATTACCCTACTAAGATCCCCCTATATGTATTTTCGGGGAATTTTATAGGAAAAAAAAAAATTGTTCTGCAACTAAAATAATCCGTCAACAAAATTGTCGAAATTATAAACGATTTCCATCAAATGAAATAGAAACTCTGTTTGATGGAAAAATAAAAACATAGGTTTGAGCTTTAGGTAGAAATGAGTCGCAAATTTACTTGGTTGAGTGTTTTGAAAGTATTATAATCTTCACACAAATTTTAAAACAACATAAGGTATTTTGATTTTCAAAATATCCTCTTTTTCAAAAAAAAAAGAATAGTAAAACTCTTAGAACATAGTTTGGTCTAATACTATCTAAAACCAAGCACTAAGATTAGAAATTGAAAATTTAAATTCTCCTTTAGAGTTTTTTCCAAAATTTGGATCCTTCACCAATTTTCCTCACTATGATAAGTGGCATGCTTGCAATAAAGATCATGTTGTTATAAGTGAATGATGAGTTCACTCACTTTCTCTTACGTACGACATTTTATCATTAAAAACATTTTTGATTTCTTGCAAACTTTATTTTTCTCTGCCATTTTGTTAATAAGTTTTCCAAAAAGTATTATTACCAGCCTATCGTTTTTGTCTTAGATTTTAAGTCTTAACCAACAGTATAACTTTGTCTTACCTCTTTTTAAACAAACCAAAAAGTTATCTAACTAACGTGTGATCGATCAATACATAATTTTCCAAACACTTTTTTTGTCGAAACTTTATCTAAACCTTTATGAAAACAGATAAAACAAAAAAAAAAAGACTCTTCATTCTCATCCCTAATTGTTCGACGAAGATTATCCAAAATTGTTTTGCCTAGTCAATCCTTTATCCAAAAAAAAAAAAAAAATTAACCTAGTCAATTAGTGAAAAAGAAGAAGATATCCTAATCAAATCCTATAAATCCTGAAAAATCTATAATTAGATAAATTGTTTAATTTTGATTTTTTATTCTTCTACAGCCTATTAATTCAATCCTAACAGGCTAAATTAAGATATTAGATAACTCATAAGTTAATAATCTATCTATATATAATGAGAAACTAAAATCATTTTCCACCGTTTCATGCAAGTGAATATATACATATAGTATAAATATAGTTCATTAAAAACACACTAACTCTATCCGACAGTTTTCTGCATAAATATTCAATGCAAAATTTAAATGCTATGTTTATAAAACCAAATATATTTTTTATTGAAAAGAAGTACCAGTAGTTTTATCCAAATAAAAAAGTACCAATAATGATGTCTGAATTTGAATAATTAATGGAATGATAGAATTAAGTCTTAAAAAGAAACATTTTTATATTTATTTTGCTCATCTCAATTATCTAGTCAATACTAAAGTTCAATTTAATTAAGATCATGAACAAACTAATCTAAAAAATCGTAGGTTACTGTTCCATCAAATTACTATAAAAACAATTCATCTTAAACCTTTCAAAAGCACTTGTTTCCTACCGTAGAAACTCAACACTAAGCTATGAAAATGAAACACTTCACTCGTCTCTTATCATTGTTCTTCATCCTCATTACTTCATTCTCTTTGGCTAACTCAACCATCGTCTCTCATGATGAACGAGCCATCACCATTAATGGAAAACGTCGAATCCTACTTTCAGGCTCCATTCATTACCCACGAAGCACTGCTGATGTAACTACTTACACTTATATATCACATCACTTTTTCATATGTTTCTTCATCCATTTTAATGTTTTCGTGGCTTTTGGTTGCAGATGTGGCCTGATCTGATCAACAAAGCCAAAGATGGTGGCTTAGACGCAATCGAGACGTACGTTTTTTGGAACGCACATGAACCAAAACGTAGGGAATACGATTTCTCGGGGAATCTCGACGTTGTTCGCTTCATCAAGACCATTCAAGACGCTGGTCTCTACTCCGTTCTTCGCATTGGACCTTATGTTTGCGCAGAATGGAATTATGGAGGCTTTCCGGTGTGGCTGCACAATATGCCAAACATGAAATTTAGAACAGTCAACCCTAGTTTCATGGTACAACCCAAACTTTTATTAGATAATCTCTTGCTATTTTTGGATTCTTGAACTTCTTCTAATGTTTTCTTGAAATCCCTTTGGCAGAATGAAATGCAAAATTTCACTACAAAGATCGTAGAGATGATGAAGGAAGAGAAGCTCTTTGCGTCACAAGGCGGTCCAATTATCCTAGCTCAGGTATGACATTTACATTATGGAGGATGTTATCGCGGACTTCTGGTCCTTTATCCCCCGGACTGGCCCATTGGACTCAGAATCGGCCTTACCATTAATTTTATATGTAGACAACATTTATATCATCATCAAAAACGTTTTCTTGTTCATACTCTTTCCCTTCTATTAGGCATGGGCTTTCGGTTAACCGTTCGGTTATCGGTTGGGTCCATTCGGTTTTCGGTTCTTTCGGTTTTAAAATTTAGTATCCATTCGAATATTTTAAAATTTCGGTTCGGTTTCGGTTTGGTTCCGGTTCTTTCGGTTTTAAAATTTAGTATCCATTCGATTATTTTGCTTAGGATATTTTCGGATATTTCGGTTATTTTTGAGTATTTTCGAATATTTTTGGATATTTTTCGGTTATTTTTGAGTATTTTTACTATTTTTATAGATTTTTCAAGTATTTTTGATTATTTGGTCAATAAATAACTAATTATTTCGAAAATATAATTGTATTTCGGGTATTTCGGTTACCCGAAATATTTCGGTTCGGTACCGATTCGGTTACGGTTATTTCGATTATCAAATTTAGTATCCATTCGGTTATTTTCATATTTTCGGTTCGGTTCGGTTCGGTTTTTTTGCTTCGGTTTCGGTTCGGTACATTCGGTTCGGTTTAAAAGCCCAGCCCTACCTTCTATATTGATTTTTTTAATTTGTTCGGTTATATTTCAGATCGAGAACGAGTACGGGAATGTGATCTCATCGTATGGAGCAGCGGGTAAGGCCTACATTGATTGGTGTGCCAACATGGCTAACTCTCTAGACATCGGTGTTCCATGGCTTATGTGCCAACAACCAAACGCTCCTCAGCCTATGCTCGAGACGTGCAATGGATTCTACTGTGACCAGTACGAACCGACCAACCCGAGCACCCCAAAGATGTGGACAGAGAATTGGACCGGCTGGTTCAAGAATTGGGGAGGCAAACACCCTTATAGAACCGCTGAGGATCTTGCTTTTTCAGTTGCTAGATTCTTCCAAACCGGAGGAACTTTCCAGAACTATTACATGGTCAGATTCATATCATTTTTATTCGTTATTAGTAGTAACCAATCTTTTCTAACCATTTTTTTTATTTAATGTGAATTTTTACAGTACCATGGTGGTACTAACTTTGGTAGAGTCGCTGGAGGTCCATACATCACCACTTCATATGATTACCATGCTCCTATTGATGAATTCGGTATAAACAACTTCACACTTTTCTTATATATATACACAAATCGCTTAAAAATGTCGTATATATAATACGTGTGTGTATATATATACATTTTTAGGTAACTTGAACCAGCCTAAATGGGGTCACTTGAAACAGTTACACAGAGTGTTAAAATCCATGGAGAAATCGCTGACTTACGGCAACATATCAAGAATCGATCTTGGCAACTCCATCAAGGTTAGACCCGGTCCTGTCTCTTTAAACTATAAACTGGCGTTATCATGGAGTAACATGTTTCTTATATCTCTATAAAGGCGACGATTTACACAACAAAAGAGGGATCGAGCTGCTTCATCGGTAATGTGAACGCAACTGCAAATGCTTTAGTCAACTTCAAAGGAAAAGACTACCACGTACCGGCTTGGTCCGTGAGTGTTCTTCCCGAATGCGATAAAGAGGCTTACAACACTGCAAAAGTGAACACTCAAACATCAATTATGACCGAGGACTCTAGTAAGCCAGAGAAGCTGGAATGGACCTGGAGACCGGAGTCCGCTCAGAAGATGATTCTTAAAAGCAGTGGAGATCTCATTGCCAAGGGTCTTGTAGACCAAAAAGACGTTACAAATGATGCTAGTGACTATCTTTGGTACATGACTAGGTATATCTATGATCCAACATACATATTATACCTAGACCAACTATATCTTGAAATGATTTGTATTGTTTTAAATGATTTGTGGTATTTATTAGGGTTCATCTCGACAAGAAAGATCCACTTTGGAGCAGAAACATGACACTACGGGTTCACAGCAATGCCCATGTTCTACACGCTTACGTCAATGGAAAATACGTTGGTAACCAATTTGTAAAGGACGGGAAATTCGATTACAGATTTGAGAAGAAGGTCAATCATCTCGTTCATGGGACTAACCACATTTCACTTCTCAGTGTTTCCGTTGGACTACAGGTAAGATGTGAATACATAGCTTTTTAATTATGATACTTTTCATTCTCTCCAAAATTTGTTGTGGTCTTATGTTTTAGAATTACGGAGCTTTCTTTGAGAGCGGTCCCACTGGAATCAATGGTCCTGTGTCCTTAGTCGGATACAAAGGAGAGGAAACAATCGAGAAGGATCTATCGCAGCATCAATGGGACTACAAGATTGGTTTGAATGGATACAACAACAAACTTTTCAGCACAAAATCCGTTGGTCACATCAAATGGGCAAACGAAATGTTTCCTACTAGTCGGATGTTGACATGGTACAAGGTCAGTATCAATTAACACTTTCTACAATGGAAATCATTTGATTCCGCAAATGAACGGTTTCTTATACAATGAAATGTTATCTATTCAGGCAAAGTTCAAGGCTCCTCTTGGTAAAGAGCCAGTGATTGTGGACTTTAATGGTCTCGGGAAAGGTGAGGCTTGGATCAACGGTCAGAGCATTGGACGTTACTGGCCCAGCTTTAACTCTAGTGATGACGGTTGCAAAGACGAATGTGACTACCGCGGGGAGTATGGTAGCGACAAATGCGCTTTTATGTGTGGCGAACCAACTCAAAGATGGTACTTAACTACTAATGGTTCATTCATTACTTTCATCATAAAGTTTTGATTTATAATCAGTAACGGTTCATTACTCTGATGGGCAAACTCTTGTAGGTACCATGTTCCAAGATCGTTCTTGAAAGCGAGCGGACACAACACTATCACACTATTCGAAGAAATGGGCGGTAACCCGTCAATGGTGAACTTCAAGACAGTTGTGGTCGGAACTGTTTGTGCCAGGGCTCATGAACACAACAAAGTGGAGTTGTCCTGCCATAACCATCCGATCTCAGCCGTTAAATTCGCAAGCTTTGGAAATCCGGTGGGGCATTGTGGGACATTCGCGGTTGGTACGTGCCAAGGAGACAAGGATGCTGTGAAGACCGTGGCTAAAGAGTGTGTTGGGAAACTTAACTGCACTATCAATGTGTCGTCCGACACGTTTGGCTCTACTTTGGACTGTGGAGATTCACCTAAAAAATTGGCCGTGGAATTGGAGTGCTAGATTAGATCTTAGCTCTAGCTAGCTAGCTAGTGATTGCAATAATTTTCTTAAATAATTTAGATCCGTTAAATAATGTCGTACTTGTTTTTGATCTATCAGTTTTTTTTAGATGATTTGGATTTAGGATTATGGAAATAAATATTATGGTCGAATAAAAAATTACTTGTTTAAATATTTTCCCTTGAGATGCTTTTTATTCTGACCTTTTTATTAAGCAACGACACTACTATATGTATTCTCTGTTGTGATTACGAAAAAAGTTTCTCGACGAGAATTCACCAATTTTAGGCTATCACAGTTTCTAACAATAGCCACAATTTTTTTTTTATATCAACACTAACCACATTTTAGTATCTTCTGTCGTATTATCTATACACATTCCAATTTTTTTTTTGACAACACTATACATATTCTAATTTTAATTCTATTACCATTAGCAATGTATATAAAATCTTACTATTACTTTGAATTTTCTCTTTGTATCCTAAGCATATTATAGTTTCTCATTTGAATTCTTAGTTTTCTTTCTGCATTTTATTTAAATTTGTTTCTAAGATCTTCACAATTAGAAAAACATTGATGTTATTAATGAGGTAACTGATAACAAATGAGAACTTTATTTGAATAATGAATCTCTTAGCTAAAGCGAAGCATACTCCTTGTATAATCTCATTTCCAAAGTATCTTAACAAAACAAAAACATATCAAAAATGATTAAAATCTAGAAAATTCAGAAAGTGTGGCAAGAGGATTAGGTAAAGACCCGACCCGGACCCATTTAAGAGACTAAAAAGCCCACCCGGTTAGAGCGTTCTAGAACACTTGGTGCAATAAAACGAAGGGAGTCATGTGTTTGGTTGGGTCTATCTCTCTCTCTACTGCAGTTTTTAGGGTTTTATCCTCCGAAAGTATCCTCAACAAGGTATCATCATCACTCACTCTCTCTTCACTGTCTATTAGGATTATAGAAAAGCTTCACAACGAGAATTGAATACAAAGGTTTGAACTTTGGGTGGATAAAGTAATCGAGTTCGCTCAATAGTGGTTGGGTTTTGCTGTAAGGTTTTGCTGTAAATTTGGTGAATCTGGGAGAAATCTTCATTTCTGCTTATTTGTTTCTCTGTCTCTCTCAATTCATACTAATTGAGAGTTTGTGTGTTTTGACTGATAGCAGAAATGGCGGCGACTCAACTTACAGCATCACCAGTGACTATGTCAGCAAGGAGCTTAGCCTCGCTGGATGGTCTCAGAGCTTCAAGTGTCAAGTTTTCATCTTTGAAACCAGGGACCCTTAGGCAGAGCCAGTTCCGTCGTTTGGTTGTCAAAGCTGCTTCTGTTGTTGCCCCTAAGGTACTTTCTCAGTTCTTTGTTTAGAATCATTGTTGTTTGGTTACTTTTTCTGGATGAGAACTTATCTGAATCTTGGATTGTTGTTTTGTTGTTCTGGCCATTCGTTTTTTTGTGTTACACAATCCAATCCACTAAATGATGTCTAAAGAAACTAAGCTTTAGATGCTTCTACCTTTCTCTTTTGCAAGCTTGGTTTGAATCTTCGATAAGTTCCTTCTCTTCTAGTTATGACTCTGTTTGGGTTTGGTTTTTCTTGTGTATGGTTATTTACAGTATACTTCAATTAAGCCATTGGGAGATCGAGTTTTGGTGAAGATCAAGGAGGCAGAGGAAAAGACTTTAGGAGGTATCTTACTACCATCAACTGCTCAATCAAAACCTCAAGGAGGTGAAGTCGTTGCTGTGGGTGAAGGAAGAACTATTGGGAAGAACAAAATCGATATCACTGTCCCTGTAACAGCCTCACTACCCTTCAAGCCCTCTTATTTTGTTTGCTAATAAATTTATCTGAAATGTCTTCATCTTTTTCCTGATGCAGACTGGAGCACAAATTATTTACTCCAAATACGCAGGAACTGAGGTGGAGTTCAATGATGTGAAGCATCTCATTCTCAAGGAAGATGATATTGTTGGCATTCTTGAGACAGAGGACATCAAAGATCTCAAACCTTTGAATGACCGAGTCTTTATTAAGGTTTGTCTCTTGGGTTTACCTTCGTCATCTTATTATTGACTCTGCATGCAAATGTTAACTTATGTTTTGAAATGTCTGAGTTTAGGTTGCTGAGGCAGAGGAGAAAACAGCTGGAGGGTTGTTGTTAACCGAGACTACTAAAGAAAAGCCTTCTATTGGCACGGTAAGTGCTCACTTGATATCATGTCCATTCCGGGAATCTAAGACTTTCTTAGTAGCTTGATGTGTTACTCAGTTCATACATAAATTCCAATTATACATATTCTCCTCTTCATTTCGTGGCAGGTGATAGCAGTTGGACCGGGTTCCCTAGACGAAGAAGGTAAAATTACTCCTCTACCAGTATCGACCGGAAGCACAGTTCTTTACTCCAAGTATGCTGGTAATGACTTCAAGGGCAAAGATGGTTCCAACTACATTGCCCTCAGAGCTTCAGATGTGATGGCTATACTTTCTTAGTTATGTCATATCTTTGTAATCTGCAACTTGTATCCCAATTGTGGAAAATTTTTCGTAAACGGCCTGAGCATAATCTGGAATAAAGACTTGAGTTGGAAATATGATTGTGATTCGCTGGTCTCATGTTTTCCCTTCTCTAACCCGTTGGCTCACGTAGCATTTTGGTTACATCTTGTTAAGTTGATCAGCTAACTTGCTAGAAACTGGACTCGCATCAAATGAAATCATCTTGTAAACTTAGTGAAAGATATTTTACAGGTAAATGCTCTACAGTGCCCAGTGGAAACTTGAGACATGTTATCAAAGAGAAGCTATATTACAAAACGAAGAAAAAAGAATCTTTGTCTGTGAGAGATCCCTTCTGCCTTCACCTGTTAAACGAGGTGGCTGAATTATCATCATAATGACCTCTCCAAGCATTGCCACTGTCACCGCCACTACAAGCTTGATTAGTAACTGGTACACCGGCAAAGTTCCCGTCCAAGCTCATCTGTTGAACCTCAGCTGATGAAAGGATCTTAAGGCTCTGAACAAAGTTCACGAATTCCCTGCAAAAATCAAGATTTTAAAGGTTACAAAAAAGAAGGGAGCATCTAACAGTCTGATGTGTGAATGTAATTGTTTTCTACTTACTCCCATGGATCATCGCCAACGAGGAGGATGTCGGTTTCATGATCGACATAAACAAGTTTCCAGTCAGATGTTTGCGGATCTTCAAGCTGTCCTTCGATCCCAAACATGCGCGCTAGATCATGCCTCAGCTCATCGTAACCTCTGTAACGGTTGACGTCTATTGATCTCCCCACTGAACCTCGCTTTTGCACCTGTAGGATAATTTACAACATTTGTCAAACTGAAAACATAACCTAAATTTCAACAAGCAGGGATCAGAGAACAATTGAACCTTTGTATAAGTTCGCATTCGCTGAGTCTGAGCTGGCCACAATCCACCACCAAGAACTCCAGCATCGTTGACAGCTAGATCATTTGAAATGGCGGGCACATTGGGGACACCAAAAGATTGAGTTCTTACAGCTGAAGTAGACATCTCTGTACCAATGTCATTTGTCACTCCTCCATAGTTTGAAAGCATGTTCTGGAGATCTTTCTGGGAGTCGTATCCCCTCGAGAGTAACGTGTCAGGAACAAAGCCATTATCAACATTAGCTCCACCGAGCAAGCTGTTCCTGGAATCACCGTCAAGGCCAAAAGTTGGAGCCAAGAAATTCTGTTGTCTGTTGTTGTCGCCTCCATCTAAACCGTAAGAAGTTCCAGAGGCAGATGCTTCTAGTTGATGATCTGTTAAACTAGCTTTGGACTTTTGCTGACCCACGAGTTCTTGTTTTAGTCGCATATCGGATTTGCTGTAAAGATCCTGAACAAGATTACCAGATATATCAATCGCTGCATCAGGTATCAAGATCGCTGGCCCACTTTGGCTTCTGTTGAGAAAGCCTGAAGAAGAGATCTGACAGTTGTTGGTGGAAGGCGAGGTTGAAGAGGAAGGTGCATCTCCTCCATCTGTGATGCCTGAATAAGCTTTGACCCCTCCTCCAACCGGTGGGTTTTGTTTTTCCTGAGGCCGGCTCACCAGCATTTGAGGTGGTTGCAACGTCGATAAGCCATTGTTAGTGCAGGATGACGGAAACTGATGACCTTGAGAGAGAGGAGGCAGCTGTTGCAACTGCTGGCTTTGCAATTGATGGTGTGGTAACTGCGACTGCGGCGAAAGAAATTGCTGCTGCTGTTGCTGTTGCTGTTGTAATCTCTGCAACAGCTGAAACTGTAAATGCGGCTGTTCCAAGAGACTCTGCTGGAATATCTTTTGGGCCTGTGCATGGTGAGCTTTCTGCTGCAAAAGTGTTTGCTGATTCTGCCCGTTGACACCAGGAGGCTGCTGCTGTTCTACTTGTCGTGGAAACTGTGTCTCTTGCGGTGGAGCGGACATCAGATTGGATGAAGACTTGCTGGTTTCAATTACACTACTCTGGCTAGTGCTAGCACCTAAAAGGTGATGTGCTTGTGGAAGCTGCTTAGACTGTTGTTGCTGTTGAAAGCTTTGATTAAGGGAGCTGGGCGGAGGCGTGATAACACTGCTTGCCATTGATCCCGAAACTAATTGTGGTTGCAAATGATGTGTAGATACTTGTTGCACCTGAAGCTGCTGCGCTGCTTGTTGACCATTGTAAAGCTGATTCTGCGGAAGCTGAAGTTGCTGCTGCAACTTATGTTGTTGTAACTGTTGTGGCTGTGGCTGGTGATGCGAGTGAGATTGCAATGGCTGCGTTCTTAGCTGCTGCTGCTGCTGCTGCTGCGTCTGTTGCTGTAACGGTTGTTGATTTTGTTGCTGCAGTAATTGTTGTTGTTGCTGCTGCAGCAATTGTTGTTGTTGTTGAGAATGCGATTGATTATTGTTACTGTGTTGTTGAGACTGCAATTGTTGTTGCTGCTGCTGCAACTGTTGTTGTTGTTGTTGTTGATGTTGTTGCTGATGGTTCAAAGAGGAGTGCAACAATTGCTGCAGCTGCTGTTGTTGGGACAACGTAGTTGGTGGCTGAGGCAACTGGGACATTGGGGCTTGCGGGTTTGGTTTGTTAAATTGGAGATTTGATGAGGAAATCCCCCCTTGCGGCGTCTGAAAGCTCAGTAACTTGGAGGGATCATCAGTGCCGCCAAGATTGTTGTGCAGCGCCGCGGTTGGCGAAAGCATTGACGGGAAGAAACCTGGCTGTGTAGCAGCAGATGGTAACTGGCCGTTCTGCTGCTGCATATTCATCCACTGAACTAAACTCAGACCAGGAAATATCGTACTCGAAGGGTCTTTCATCTCTAAGCTATTATCAAGCCATGGCATTGCTCTCTTCAGTGCAGATTCCATGTCAGTCTCATCATCTGCAAGAGCACCGGAATTTTCGTCCTTGAGGAGATTCAAAAATGTTGTGTCGAAATGAAAAGGTACAAAGATTTTACCTAGCATTCCGGGTTGTCCAGAAAAGCGAGGTCGAAAAAATGGAGGAGGACATATGTAGAAAGGAGTTAAAACCGGTTCAATGTCCCAAACTGAAACTCGACTGGGCCGATCACCAGCAGCTGATTCATCCCATCCAATCTTAAGCAGAAACAAAAACAAGGCATAACTAAAATGAATGGTGCAATGTATCAGGAAAGGCAAATCTGGCATGCAGAGTTTTACTTCAAACTACTGTACCTGAAGATTCCGCCACTGAGAATTTTTCCATCTCACTGGATCAAGATCACTTATACCGGTAACTGTACCCATATACCGACGAACTCCACATTCTTCAGTCTCAAATATCATCCTAAACCGCATACCCAGGGAAACTTGAGCGTACATCGCTTTGGTATACTTGGCTAAAGGAACCACAAACTCAGCAGGAGCAGCCCTGAAAAAACTCAGGTTGTAATTCTTTCAACAATTACCTTGAAACAAGTATATAGTAAGGTTAATGGAGACAAAACGTAACATAGATCCCCCACCTTGGGTTGTAGAAAATGGTGAAAGGGCTGTTATTAGCATTAGCATGAGCTGCAGCAGCAAGAACTCCAATGTGCATGCTATCACTTGATATTACAGATGAAGAAAGCGCAGGCTGTTGTCTATTCGCACGTCTTATACCCAACAGAAGTTGCGCCTTTCCATCTCTTAATTGAAAGTCAAAAGGAGTTAGCATCTTGACACATTAATACAGAAAGAGCATTGGCATATCGAGTGATACCTTATAAAAAGAACAGAGTCTCCAGCAAAGAGCCTTTTTGTACTGACAAACACACTCCAGCCTGTAGTTAGCAAGTGCCTTTTTGGTTGACCTGATAAATGTCAACATAACCAAACCCTAAGAACAGTTTTACCAAAGCCAAATTGATCGAACAAGGTAATCTACCAAAAACAAGGTAAAACCTCGATAAATATGTCTGAATGTCCATGTGTTGTCGTGAATATCCTTAGCAACAAGCTCCTGACAAGGTGGTTGCATCGAGAAATCCTAACAGAATATTGCCAACAATGTAAGAAGCTAAGGCAATAAAGAGATCCTAATTATCAGATATATAACAAAGTATTGTATATACACCAGAGCAGGAAAGATTTTCTCAGCTGCTCGTCGGGGTACAGAAAATCCACCGTGAGTACTTGTGTCACTCGCCGTGAGGGTTTTGCAGAAAAATTCATTAGGCTGTCTGTTTAGCTTAAGACCCATGTCAGAAGCAAGCAATGCATCTCTGTCATACTGGTCAACAAAATGCTCAGATCAATTAGTCCCTACTCCTCAAAGACACCTAAAAAATCGAGTTATTCAGTGAAAGGTAAGCTACTTTGTTTACTGGCTGAAGAGTCATCTGCGCATAGACCTCATCCGTCTCAGGATCAGCCTGGTTCACAGTCGCCAATTAGCAAAACATTAGCAAATGTTAAGAAATCTAGCCGTAGAGGCCACTATTGATATTTAAAAGATACCATACATTCAGAGTAACATTGTGGAGCATGCATATGAGCTTGGAAGGAAGATTCGGGTAGCTTGGTATGAAATCAGTCTGCTTCTGCATTGAAGCGGCGACCTAAGAAATAGAAAGAAAACGACAGCCGCATGAAATTTCCAATCAGAGACTCATTCTTGATCAGCCATGAATGATACCAAACTTTATCGAACAACATACTTGCTCACTGTGACCTTGAGGGAAGTAAACAACAAGACTTCCTGCTGGAGGCAACGAAATCAGTGGCCCGGCACAAGCGTGCCATAGTTCTGAGTTTATATTTCTCCTTTCTCCTGCACTCACAAAACATCAAAGCTGTGATCACTTCAAATCTCTGAGATCTTCATTCAGTTACTATTATCAAACCAACAAGATGAGAGAGAACTGCTCTAAACCAACTGTTAAACCAATACAATAGTAACTTAGCTTACTTCTAAAGCTAGAAAATGAACGAAATCAAGTCAATTCAGGTTCTCAAATCCAGCAATTCAGAAGAAATGTGTGACCTCTACTTACAACTGAATCTATTCAAATCCAGCAATGAATTTCTTCTACTAAAGGAGAAACACACAAACCTTCAACAGGATTAGGAGAAACTCCATTTGATGAAGGAGCTTTCATGATCAC